GAGAAAGAGAGAGAGAGAGAGAGAGAGATGAAAGTGTCTCATTACTACAAAACTCGCCATTGTGACCACAAAGTACATACAAACTTGATGAAACTACACAGCACTTTAAAAAAACTCTTTCAACTGTAACAAAGTGCTGTACAAAAGATTAAATATAAAACACAATAATAGCAAAATAATAAAATATTATTTTCAAATGTAAATGTTCAAGCCTGCAATTGGCTGGCAACCATTTCAAGGGTGTACACGGCCAGCTACTGCATGAAGACTGGGATGGGCTCCAGCACAAGGAGACCTCCCCCTCTACCCCCAGTGAAAATAAGTGGTCAAATGGAAAAGAATGGATGGATGATTAACTATACAAGGATAAGCGGTACAGAAATGGTTGGATGAAAGACCTCACTTCACGTCTATGTTTGGCACACAGACGCTCCAGAGTTTTACTCCATTGACTAACAACTTACAACTAACCACTGCAGTAGTTCCTTGAGTTGCGGACCTTTGGTGCGTGAAACTATGACACATTTAGACTGATTTCTATATAATTTTTAAAAACCACTGTCAATTATTTCACTGGTAATCCTTTTTATTTGTTTGTTTTCGAGGTCAAACAATGACCAACAAAATTCAATTCAGCAAATGACCATATGAAACTAGAGCTACTTAAATTAGTGCTTAGATAGAGACCTTTTTTCAGTGTTCTGATTGGTTAATTTGGATAGATTACACTTTAACTGGCAAACAAAAAAAAAGCACAGTATTAGCAACTGTCACTGCTGATTTATATTGGAGTAGAAAACATGACTATCCTTCAAGATGACAGACAGCAAATGGTATGAATGTGTGTGTGTTTGTGTGACAAGCAGAAATGGGGTGTGCTCAGCTCTGTGGAAATGAGAGGGAAAACTCAGATTCTTCATCACGCACCCTCCCATACCTCTCCTCTCCGGTTTGGCCCTTTAAAAGCTGCTGCCAGTGCTATCTTTCAGCCTCATTATCACCATTTCTTGGCTGGGACAAATTGCTATCCGCTGTTTGAAGCTCAGTGGAAATAAACAACGAAGCTTCCGAGGTCCTCGGAGAAAACAAGCGTCAACAAATCAAGGCCCTGGACAACTTTCAAGTGTGAGATGCTTCTGTGTGTGAATGTGCTGGTGCTGCTTGTCCTGCAGCCACTTCTTTCCAGCCCAAGGCCACTAACTGCACCGTCCAAAGGATGTGCCAGCTGCAAAGGAAAGTCTTCCCCAATGCATATGCCAGGAGATTTAAATGTCACCGTTCTGACCATTGGAGAGCCATGTGGGGTCTACACACTGAGCTGTGCCAGCGGTCTGCGTTGTGCACCTGCATCAAGTGACCTGCGGCCCCTCCGCACCCTGCTGGAGGGCAGGGGCGTCTGCAGCAACGTCAGTGTCATCAGCTGGACGGAAAAGAGCCAGACTGCAGGTAACATTTCCAGCTTGGTGCCCGAATGGCACTGTTGATGGATGTGCATGCATCAGCAACTTGTAGTGCAGCAACAATGAAAGTTTAGATGCTTAAGTCTGTCTTGTCTCATGACTGGATTTTTGTTTTGCACAAGTGCTATTAATGCTATTGAATAAACTTATTTATTTTACTACATTATAAAAACAAAGCATCAATTTCCATAACAATTAGCTCATCAGACATTTTTGTCAAAACTGATTCGAGGTGTGAACACATTCAATAGTCAATTGTGATGTGTTTCTACCCTTAGATCCCGCACCTACCGAGAATCCGGCGGAGGTAACCATCTTCTCTAATAATTATACACTATGCAGACAGATAATGATTAGTCATACTTAAAAAATCCTCTCCACTGACAGGCCCCATGTCGAAAGCTGCTAACCACACTTATCAGAGGCCTTGATGCCCATTTATTCAAGTCCCATCATGATATCTACATGCCTAACTGTGATAAACGTGGCTTCTTCAGAAAGAAGCAGGTAAGTGGTAAAGTACTGCCAGCTTAACCCCAAGACTGGATAGGTAGGTAGGTAGGTTTGTAGACAGACATCCATATAGGCAGGCAGGTAGACAGACAGACAGACAGACAGACAAGGGGGCAGGCAGGCAGGCATGCAGATAGATAGATAGATAGATAGATAGATAGATAGATAGATAGATAGATAGATAGATAGATAGATAGATAGATAGATAGATAGATAGATAGATCGATCGATAGATCGATAGATAGACAGACAGATAGATAGATAGCCTCGTTAATGACAACATTAGTGAGCAGGCAAAACACAATTGTTTTTATTTTATATCAGATCCAAATTAAATTATAGGAATTTCAAAATAGCACAATCATTAAAGAAAACAGCAAAAAGACAATCCCCATTCATACTCAAGCCCCGCCCCGAAAAAAATCCCCGCCCCCCGTAAAAATTCTCCCATTATATGGCACTTCATGAGTACGTCACTGCCGTATGAAAACCTGCTTTGTCTGAAATGGTGGATTTCTATTTATTTTTGTACTTAACGGAAACAAATCAAGATGTTGCTGAGTATAAAATAACACATTTGATGGTACGTTCAGTCTCTTCCTTGCATTATATTTAGATTCGTTTTGAATGTTCTCACACATACTGTACATATTGATATGTTTAAAATAATGTATCTACGTTATCTTCAATAAAACTGTAGCTTAAAACAAAAAAAAGACTTATCGTAACGAGGAATCGAACCTTGACAAAGAAAACTGGGCGGAAATAACCTCAGTTGGGTTTCTCACCGGAATATAAAAAACAACGCACAAAACTTGCGTGGGGACATCTGCAAGATAGCTGGATGAATGGAGGGAGGGGGAATGGATGGATGGATAGATAGGTTGATAGATAGATACATAGGAAGTATTGCAAAATAATATCCGCAAATTTGGGATCCCGTATAATATGTTTTTTGTGTGTGTGTGCAGTGTTGGTCCTCTCGAGGTAAACAACGCGGTCGCTGCTGGTGCGTGGATGAGAATGGCATGCCGGTGACGTCACAAAAACATAAAGGCTTGACTTGTTGAAGAATGTCAATGTTGGATTAAAGAAAGGACAAAAGTTTGGCGGCCATCATGGGGTGAAAAAGGACCTCTTTCTTCCCGGACTTTGGAATTCCACGTCTGGTGTCAGATGTAACTTTGACTATTGGCGCCCTCTAGAGAACACATAGTGAACTGTTTTGATCAGACACGTCTGCATAAGACCTTAGGACTTAGGTACACTGGCTCAAACGACTACCATCTAATGTAAGAGTTCTATCAAACGTTGAGCTTTGACTGACACTTTCAGAGAGGTATCACTTCAACAGTATTTATTACAGCGTACGTAGTTTACAGTGCACTGCACTTCACCACAATTAGAGGAATTCCTATTTGCAAAATTTCCAAAGGAAAACCTTCCATAGAAATTTCTTGCATGTCTCCTTATGACAAAATAACGAAGTTGTTATGTTACAGTTTGCCTCAAAAGTTTTCATCTAAATAGTTTTAAAACGCCATTCAAAATACACAATCTATCATTTCTTAAAAATTTCACGTCGAGCAGTTCCCCACAATTGTATTTTGTTAGAAACACACGCACAGACCCAACACACGCGCGCACACACACACACACACACACACACACACACACACACGCACACACACGCACGCTCGTGCTCGTTAAAGAACTCTTATGGTGTTATGTAATTGTACCAATGTGGTGTGTGTTTGTATCTCCTGCCAATTGTTCTACATGAACATACCCTGTTTGTCATTTACCAAGTATGTACATAAATGTACATGTAGTAAATTGCTTTCTCTGTCCGCCCGTATAATTTTCTACAATATATTTCATTTTCTATAAGATATTCATATAAGATCAAAATACACCACTGCAAGAGTAACAGTCTACCTATTGTTTATAGTATCTATTTCTCATCTTATTTATATTCTTTTCACCATTATTTATGGTCTTATCATAATTAATAATATTGATTAAGTATTAACCAATGCTAAATAGCAGACAAAAAAACTTGGGGTTTGGTAGCTGACTTATTAAGATAATTTACATTGACTTTTGACTTGTTTACAATAAACATATTGTCATTAGGAGTGTAGCTGTGTGGTGGTTTTAAAATAGTAAGCATAATTATAATAAAATCATACTGTATTTTATATATATATATATGCCCACACACGGTTTGGAACATAGCGGAGCGATTAGAGTAGCTTATACCTTGAGGGACAACAACCCAGCCGCTGGGGGGCAGTGCCCTCCGCGCGCACACACACACACACACACACACACACACACACACACGCACACACACGCACGCTCGTGCTCGTTAAAGAACTCTTATGGTGTTATGTAATTGTACCAATGTGGTGTGTGTTTGTATCTCCTGCCAATTGTTCTACATGAACATACCCTGTTTGTCATTTACCAAGTATGTACATAAATGTACATGTAGTAAATTGCTTTCTCTGTCCGCCCGTATAATTTTCTACAATATATTTCATTTTCTATAAGATATTCATATAAGATCAAAATACACCACTGCAAGAGTAACAGTCTACCTATTGTTTATAGTATCTATTTCTCATCTTATTTATATTCTTTTCACCATTATTTATGGTCTTATCATAATTAATAATATTGATTAAGTATTAACCAATGCTAAATAGCAGACAAAAAAACTTGGGGTTTGGTAGCTGACTTATTAAGATAATTTACATTGACTTTTGACTTGTTTACAATAAACATATTGTCATTAGGAGTGTAGCTGTGTGGTGGTTTTAAAATAGTAAGCATAATTATAATAAAATCATACTGTATTTTATATATATATATATGCCCACACACGGTTTGGAACATAGCGGAGCGATTAGAGTAGCTTATACCTTGAGGGACAACAACCCAGCCGCTGGGGGGCAGTGCCCTCCCCTGGGGGTGCACTGTTCCCCGGTGCCGGTCCCAAGCCCGGAGAAATGGGGAGGGTTGCGTCAGGAATGGCATCCGGCGTAAAACTTTTGCCAAGACGACCATGCGAGTTGGTAGGACGGTTTACAGGGGCGGATGGAAATTACTGACTCGCTGTGGCGACCCCTGAATAGGGATGTGCCGAAAGGAGAAGAAGAAGAAGATACCTTGAGGGACAACAATCTCAGTATAGATGATCCTAGTATTAAGTAGGACTATATTATTGTCATGTTAAAAATCTAGTCCAAGTGTTTCTTAACATTCCACAATTTTACCTCTCCTTGTACCGGTGATTTAAAATTTCATGATGTTAATGGGGGGGTCCGGTGCGCCAGTGGTTAGCGGGTCGACCTCACAGTGCAGAGGTACCGGGTCCGATTCCAGCTCTGGCCTCCCTGTGTGGAGTTTGCATGTTCTCCCCATGCCTGCGTGGGTTTTCTCCAGGTACTCCGGTTTCCTCCCACATTCCAAAAACATGCGTGGCAGGCTGATTGAACACTCAAAATTGTCCCTAGGCGTGAGTGTGAGCGCGGATGGTTGTTCGTCTCTGTGTGCCCTGCGATTGGCTGGCAACCGGTTCAGGGTGTCCCCCGCCTACCGCCCGAAGACAGCTGCCCGAAGACAGCTGGGATAGACTCCAGCATGCCCCGCGACCCTTGTGAGGATAAAGCGGATCAGAAAATGGATGGATGATGTTAATGTTATAACACAGATTTCTGTCTTTATTTGGTCATCAGTGTCTTGATTAAACCTGTGAAAAAAAGTGGCCGCTGTTTGATTCTGGAAGTTGTGTTAAAGATTGTATAGATTAATAAAGATGTACTGTATTGTATTAAAATGCATGTATTAGGATCGAAACAAGTAGTTTTCTCTCTTTTTTTGCATTTGGTTTATCACTTTAAAGCTCCGTTTTCATCAAACACAATTTACCCTCTATAAAATCTATAGATGAGTTGAAAGCAAAATTCCTTAACAATATAGTATATCAATATGGTGAATCTGTGCAACAAACAAAAAAAAAAACGGTTTCAATAGCAGGTGGGTGTTGCGTCACAGCGCCACCAACCTGCAGCAGAAATTGGATCCATCCACAGCTTCACCGTCTTCCAGCCCACTTATGCAAATTGCGAAGACCTACGACGGCGCGAGGTGACCACTGCACGCGGACAAGAGTCGTAAAAGTCTCGTGTCGTGCCAAAGTGCTCGAATGTCCTCTCCGAGCGCAGCACGCGTCCCTCACAAGAGGAAGACCAAGATGAAGCACTTCGTGCAGCAGAAAGTGGAGGTGTTCCGTGCTCGGGAGCCCGTGTCGAGCGTGCTCATGTGGGGAGTCAATCATTCGGTGGGTATGTGATGGAGAGCTGCTTGTCTTTGTGCGTGTGTGAGTGCGTGAGTCACTTGGTGTGTGTCCAGCAGAAGTGGTAAAACTTCTCACGCTGCACTAAAGTAGAAGTTGCTAAGTAGAAGTTGCTAGGCTCCAAGTACTTGTGTAAAAAAAGACGAGTAAAAGTCAAAGGACTCATTCAACTCTCTTTTAAGTAAAGTAGGCTACATGTAAAAGTAACAAAAAATAAATAATAAGCACTAACTACTAAGGCGAATTTTACTGTCAATGAAATACAGTTTTTATACATCGGCACTACGGGAAAAACATCTTTACGCACAAAGTTGGAGTCGACACACACACAAAAGAATATGTGATGACCGCCAGGTTTTTTTTCCAGGACTGATATCAATTAACGAAGGAGGCGAACAATTTTAATTTGCAGTAAAAGGAAAAATATTGGCATTAAAATTTTGAATAACTTTTCACAGCCCTTGAAAGCTTAAAAAAGGCAGATGCCAATGTGCTACAAAATGCGATAATTGGACCAGGTGATTAGTCTGTCTCTCCACAAAATAGTTTCCTTCTTTGTTCATACTGCAGAGAATTCAAAGAATTCTTGTGTTTTTTTTTAAACCAAGGGCTAGCTAGCTTTGTTGTCTCACCTTTTGCCATCAAAATGTGTTCCCACAGCTTTGCTAATGTTGTGCATTGAATAAGAAAAATGTTTAATTAGCTAACAACAATCTGAAAAAAAGACATTTTTTACATGCTTTTTTTTTTTATGCATTAGAGAATTTTTGAATGCCAAGTCAAGTCACTTTTAGTTACAGCCCTTAATCACAAGAATCTAAAAGACCTTCACAAGCCCACAGTTGACACATATCCTGATCCAAAGTTCCCAACTGCATGGGCCATAATTTGATTTGGTTTTTAGACTGGCACAAGAGACAGCGCATTTGGCAGCAAACAACATTAAACGATTCTCTTAACTTTTTCAATGCCCTCCATTTTCAAAAATGAGTGCCAGCCAATTTCGGACTGATCTTCCAAGGCTCACACAATATTGTGTTTTATGACTATGTTCACACAGAAACAACCAAATGAAAGATTGGAATCTCTTCTTTTATCACACCAAAAAGTTTGTTTCTACCTTATGTCGTGTCATCATCTTGCAGAGGTTGGAAAGAAAAAAAAAAAAAAGGACCGAGCTCATTTTGGCAAAGGAGTAGAAAAAAAAGATAGAAATGTGTTCTCAAATATAAGTCAAATGTCAGAAAAACAGATACTTCGGTAAACTACTGCACAGATAGCTGAAAAATTTACTCAGGATTTGTAAATCGTTTCTTCCCACTCCTGACAAAATGTGTGTGCAGATCAACGACCTCAGCCAGGTGCCCGTGCCTGTCATGCTGCTTCCAGATGACTTCCGTGCCAGTACCAAGGTCAAAGTCAACCACCACCTCTTCAACAAGTACAGTACTGTCTTCCCTTTCACGTCACTGCTCGAGAATAAGAATAATTCAGAACGCATAATCACGTTGCAACTCAATTCACCGATGAAACGTAGTCCCATTCAAATCATTTGTGCAGTTGTGAAATGAGTTTTTCCACATACTAGCAATGTAAAAAAAAAAAATAAAAAAAACGAAAAAAAAAAGTTTCCCCATCCTTTAGAGAAGTAAGACGTAACTCAAGTCTGGAAAAAAATGAGTAGCTTTCAATAATCCCTTAATCCAGTCAGGAATCTAGGTTGTGTAACAGTCTAGGGAAGAACAATAAAATGTGTTTTGTCATGTGGTGTTACTACACAAAGATTTACACTTACTCTCTGAATTTGTATCCAAGTGGTCAAAGTACACATGCATTTATTAGTATCCGTACAAGTTGTTTTATTTCAGTCTATCTGTGAACATGCTTTTAAATAAGAACCAAATATTAAAAACAGTATGGTTTCGTTTAACTGTCAATCAAAACAGATTTGAAAGGGATCTTAGTTTGGGTAAATATGCTAATGTTGCTCTGTTCAGCATCCTCAATTTAAGTAGGCATGACCTGATTCTAGATTTGTTCACATAAAAAAAAATCAATGTTTCCGTGTGATTTGCCTCTCAGAGAGAATCTCCCAGGACAGTTTAAATTCAAAGAGTACTGTCCCCAAGTCTTCAGGAACCTGCGTGAGCGCTTTGGCATTGAGGACCAGGATTTCCAGGTACAGTTCAAGAAGAAAAGAAATTGTCTGCGTTGTTTTCGCCATCGACTCACAATTTGCATGCGTTTGTGTGGAATTTGCATTTCCGCTCTCTTCAAAACACATTTGACCTTAAGACAGAATGATGTGATTCGCTCTGTGTTTCTATTCCTGATGAAACGTTGCAGGAAATACGGAAATGGGCGCAATATATTTTCCAATTGTGCCGCGATTTGCATTTCAGTGAAAAGGATTTGCATGTTAAAGAGCGTCCAAAATGCGGTATGTAAAAAAAAAGGACACGTTTTCATCAACAGGTGTCTCTGGCTCGCGGTCCGCCCCTCAAAGACGGGGATGGGACATGTGAGGGCCTGCTGCTGTTGTCATATGACCGCACATTGGTGGTCAAAGAAATCTCCAGTGAGGAGGTGGCCGAGATGCACAACATCCTTTCTGAATATCACCAGGTGACGCGCACACTGAAAGCGTCTTGAAACTGCGAGCAAAACGTGACCCCTTAATTGTCATCAGAACCATTTCTCCCCCTCCGATCAATGAAGAAAAATAGATTACGCTGCTCCTTTCTTCTCATGCAGCATGTTGTCACCTGTCACGGTTCTACGCTCCTCCCTCAGTTCCTGGCTATGTACAGAGTCACAGTGGAGAGTGAGGATACCTATCTGTTGGTCATGAGGAACATGTTCAGCCACAGACTGCATGTACACAGGAAGTATGACCTCAAGGTAAAGTGGGTCATGTTGCCAGTGCAAGCGTAGTGGTTCACTTAGCCGATCTTCAGCTGGTGTGGCATCGATTCATATTCTCAGTGTCTCCCCGTCCTCGAACATTTATATCGGCGGCAACTTAAAGTTTATGACCGTTGTGCAAGTGTAACTAGTTTAAATTTATGAGTACTGATGCAAGGTGTCAAGATCTGCGAATATATTTTACAAGGACATCATCAATTTCAAGTCGGCGATGTGCCAACAGCTCCGCCAAGTCCTGTGTGAGTCAAGTCTCCGCTGTAATTGTGCTCCAGTCAGATGAGAAATGTTGTGCGGTCTTTCATTTCCTCAGGGCTCCCTGGTGTCTCGAGAAGCAACTTTTAAAGAGAAGGTGAGCTCACTTGAAAGGATGTGTCAGTGCTGTGAGAACTCAATTGAAATTCATGCATACGTGATGAACTCATCTTATCCTGTAGCATTAATAATGGCAGCATCAAGGTAGCAGTTAGCCTGCGCTGGCATACTCCAAATTGCACTATTAGATCTGAGTGGCTGAACATAAAACCAACATAAATCTACAAAGGGACAGATCATGAACCAAAGCATACCACATCATGTGTCAAACACGATGGAAACTGTGGTGGAAATGGTGACGTGTAAAGGCCTACACTCTACGGTCTCATTCAGCCTAATGATACAAAACTGAAACAGTGAAGATCAGAGGTGACCAACCTTTTTTGACTGAAGATCTACTTTTCAAGCAACCAACTTGTACATGCGCTCGCGCACGCCTTGTGTGTAAAATGAATAAAGCTGCCTTCCCTTGCCTTCCCAGGTCAAAGATCTTCCCACCTATAAGGACATCGACTTTATGAACAACATGCAAAAGATTTACCTGTGCGACGAGGAGAAGCAGAGTGCCATGGACAAGCTTAACAGAGATATTGAGGTAAGAAATGTTTTTTTTTTGTTTTTTGTTTTTTTTTACTTTTGCAAAATGTCTGTGGAGTCCCTGTGTGGAACATCTATCATGGGTACAAAAAACACTTCACATGGTAACACGGCTTTTTGGACATCCAAGCATCAACGTGTCCGTTCATTCTCATAACGCTTTTCATCATAAAGGTCACGAGTGAGCTTATCCGAGCTGACTTTGGCGAAGAGGCAGTGCACACCTTGGAGTTGTCGGCAGTCAACTGCAGGGCATTAAATTACGAGTTTAATTCATCCCCTTGCCACACTCTCAACTCAAAGCACTGATATTTCTCTATTGAAATGAATGGATCATAAAATGTGCTTTCATAGCACTCTGCAGGACTGTGTACTTCACAAAAACATACAGGTTTGTCTGTCATAATGCGAAAATACAGGCCATGTGAGACGGGAATCAAAATCGGTTCAGCCAGGATTCAGGGAGGACATTTTCCACTTTATCTTATTTTATTTGGACCAAGATAACCGGATTAAACCACACGGGTGTCTAGGCTCTCCCAGCTGACCAGCACTCAATGACCTTCTCAAACCCTTGGTTGGTCCACCCAAAGAGGCTGTGGTTGCGGATGGCTCGCGCACCCGCAATGCAGTTGGGATGAACTTTATTGTCAACACCACACGGAAAATCTTGAGCTAAGATTCTAACAAAGAACCTTTGGAGTTTGAGGATCGGCCCAAATGGCAACACAGAGAGCACTTTGTGCTAGAGTGCCCTCTTTCTGCAGTTCCTGGTACGGATGAGGATCACGGACTACAGCCTCCTGCTGGGTATCCATGACGTGGAGAGGGCTGAGGAAGAGATGGAGTCGTCTGATGGTGAAGAAGAGCAAGATGAAAGCAGCCAATCTGCGCTTCCGGAATCCACTTCACCAGAAGGCATTGCTGGCTACATGAACTCCTTCAAGCCGATGGGCCCCGGGGAGTTCGACCCTTACGTGGACGTGTACGCTATTGAGAGCGCTGTAGGTGAGTCCTGAAGGCGCTTTTTGCGTGCCTGAAAACAATGTTACACTGGGCCTGTGCGCACAAGATGATACATGAAGATCAAAAGCATCACCAAAGACTGAAGCGTTGAGCCTTCCTCATTCCCATGTAGGTGCACCGCGGAGAGAAGTGTATTTCATGGGTCTGATTGATGTGCTGACGCAGTATGACACCAAGAAGAAAGCCGCTCACGCAGCCAAGGCTGTCAAACACGTGGTGAGCATCAGTGTCGTGTAAAGCAAATGATGATACCCATTCATACTGACAACCGTGTGTGTGTGTGTGTGTGTGTGTGTGTGTGTGTGTGTGTGTGTGTGTGTGTGTGTGTGTGTGTGCGCGTGCGCAGGCAGGAGCAGAAATCTCGACAGTTCATCCAGATCAGTATGCTAAGCGTTTCAGGGAGTTCATCGCAAAGATATTTGCCTAGCAGTCCAAAAATTCCATCATTTCACACATACAAAGGTGGAGAGTGCGGATCCTTCAAAAAAGACTTGGATTTGATTTTCCCAAATGAATTAAACTTAAAAAGAACCATCTTTAAATCTGCTGTTCAAAGATCAAGGTTCGAAATAAGAGGTTTTAGATTGCTGTTTGCCAGTCCAATTTTGTTGTTTTTCGCGCCTTTAATACACATGGAATAGTAAAACTGAGAACCAAACACGTAGAGGGCCGTGAAAAGAAAAGTAGCAGAAGAAGAAGCACCCAGATGGTCTCAAAAACTATTACAGGTAGTCTGTGCTACTTAAGAAGAAGCAGCTAGCCAGCAACTGTTTTGGCTGGCATCTAGTGCGCCTAAACACATTGTGGAGTTGCTCTTAAGTCAGTTACCATCACTTGCATGGTAGCGAATAAGTGAGTTTGTGGCAATTGTCATACTCATGAAGAGATGACGAGGATAGATGGAGAAGCCATGTTAAATGCTAACGTGAACCTAAGATTGACACGGCTAGCGTTTTTTTAGCGTCGTCGCAAAAAAATAAATGAATAAAATCAAAAACACAGATCATGACCTCCATGTTTTGTAATGGGTCTGATTGATGTGCTGACGCAGTATGACACCAAGAAGAAAGCCGCTCACGCAGCCAAGGCTGTCAAACACGTGGTGAGCATCAGTGTCGTGTAAAGCAAATGATGATACCCATTCATACTGACAACCGTGTGTGTGTGTGTGTGTGTGTGTGTGTGTGTGTGTGTGTGTGTGTGTGTGTGTGTGCGCGTGCGCAGGCAGGAGCAGAAATCTCGACAGTTCATCCAGATCAGTATGCTAAGCGTTTCAGGGAGTTCATCGCAAAGATATTTGCCTAGCAGTCCAAAAATTCCATCATTTCACACATACAAAGGTGGAGAGTGCGGATCCTTCAAAAAAGACTTGGATTTGATTTTCCCAAATGAATTAAACTTAAAAAGAACCATCTTTAAATCTGCTGTTCAAAGATCAAGGTTCGAAATAAGAGGTTTTAGATTGCTGTTTGCCAGTCCAATTTTGTTGTTTTTCGCGCCTTTAATACACATGGAATAGTAAAACTGAGAACCAAACACGTAGAGGGCCGTGAAAAGAAAAGTAGCAGAAGAAGAAGCACCCAGATGGTCTCAAAAACTATTACAGGTAGTCTGTGCTACTTAAGAAGAAGCAGCTAGCCAGCAACTGTTTTGGCTGGCATCTAGTGCGCCTAAACACATTGTGGAGTTGCTCTTAAGTCAGTTACCATCACTTGCATGGTAGCGAATAAGTGAGTTTGTGGCAATTGTCATACTCATGAAAAGATGACGAGGATAGATGGAGAAGCCATGTTAAATGCTAACGTGAACCTAAGATTGACACGGCTAGCGTTTTTTTAGCGTCGTCGCAAAAAAATAAATGAATAAAATCAAAAACACAGATCATGACCTCCATGTTTTGTAACCTGGAAAAATTCAATGCAAGGGCCACTGGGACCAAACGCCATCACTTCTGTCTTCTTTTCATTGAGATGCAAGAAATTCAGTGCCATCCACATCTTGATTTCTTCTAGACAGGATGAAAGTGGCCTCAATGAGAAAGCGTCTTTTTTTTTCGCTCCGACAGTCACACATATACCCGCTGAAGGAAATACCATGTTTTATTCCATTAAGATGGAGCCTAAGGGGAGCACATACAGTGAGAACAGCAGAGGCCCCAGAATTGAGCCCTGTGTCAAGCTGTGGCAAGAAACTCCCAGTAGTGAGTAAATTGGCATGGGAAAAATATCAAAGTCATAGTTTCTCCTCAAAATGATATTAGTAAATATGCGCTTCGGCCTCAACCAGGAAAAAAAAAAAAAACTCCCACATGCTCTGGCTGGGGATCCAAGTGAAGTTTTCCAAAATTGGGTTAAACAAAAAAGAAATGAAGTTTTCCTCTGACAAGAACAGTACATTCCCAAAATTGTATCATATCACATTTTTGAAGGGAATCAAATTACATCCACAATTTTCTTCAGTAGTCAGGTCTGATATCACCCCGTAGTGCCAGCAAACCTTTCAAATCCAAAGTGGAGAGATGAAATCTCGCCTGAAAGGGGATTCTGACAACTCCAATTTAAGTATTAGACACTGGCACAACCCATCAGTAGGAAAGGCCAGAAAACTTTGAACACTCCACAGCAGGGGACCTTTGTGCATTCAAAAATTGGCCACAAATCCCACTATTGAGGCGGACTCTTTTTCTTTTTATGTTGAGCCACTCTTTTTAGGTCTGTGGCTACTGCGCAAAAATGTTTCTGGAAATAATGTTCTAAGTGCGGCCAGTGTGGTTTTTTTTTTCCAGCCCTGTATCATGTGATAGGGCAGGTAAACCTCTCAAACTCATAACGAGGAACTGTTAAGTGTCCGAGAATGATATCAATTTCCACCTGCATTTTCGGTCACTTGTCAGACATTTTACACAAACCACCAGGTATCTGCAAGAAAAAATAATTCAAGCGTCACAACAACCTAAAGAGTACATCCAAATCATCAAACAAATGGCGCTCATCTGAAGAAAGTTTTGGAATGACCCAGTCAGAGCCCAGACCTAAAACCCCTCCCGGTGGTGTATTAGAAACTATTTCTAGACTGTTTCTGGCATACACAAGCTGTTTACCTTTGCCCCGAGGCCCCGGAGACATTGCAAGTTGGTGTAGATCATTTGTGCTGTCATCTTTTGACAGCAATTTCAAGAAGAGCATCAAATATTTAGCATGTTGGTTTATTTAATCCTCCCTACAAGTGTTCCCTTGTTCCACCCTAAATAAGGGGTTGAAGAGTGAAACGTCAACACGAATTCAGAGCAATTTTATTCTGTCTGTGTTTATGGTTTTATATGGGTCGCTCATTACAGTTTTGCCTCTTCTTAATGAACGTGTTGTTTGCGTTTAATAATTGACAGTCCTTTCGATCATAAATCATCTGGTTCAGGTCTCTGGGTCTACAGCTGGCAGTGTCGAAGCTCCATCATAAAAGTCAGGCCGGTGCACTGGCCTAGAAAGATGTGGGCCAAAGCCAAGAAGCAGACAATCTGACAGTGAGATGATGAGTGTGAAGTGATTTCTGCTGGCTGATTACTGCTGCGCGGCATCATGTTCCTGTCATCTTGGGGGCGGGGGGGACATAAAAATAGACATAAACAGAGTCTCGCCCCCATGCAGCATTAGTCGTTTCCTTTTTGATGCAAAGTAAACAGCTGGAAGTAGGCTGGCTGTATTGATAACGAATGCTTTATGAATCATTGCATGAGTAAAAAAATACAAATGAATCGAGACCTTTTTACAGCACAGACATGTATACTCAGCAACTGTCATTAGATGAACACAGAATTACATCAAGTACGGATGGAATGACTTCTTTTTATGCTACTCTTGAAATGTCCACGTGGGCAACATTCCTCTTTTCCTCACACTGATTATTAGCCACTTGTAAACATTCATACCACTGCTCACTTGTATATATACACGTACATTTGAAAACAATCTATTAAATAAGACTTTTAATTAATCTCTATTAGGTTCGGCAGGAGAGCGAGTTAACATCCATGAAAGCGGCACCTCTTCCTGACGACATGACCGTTTTAAAATACATTCAGTTGAAATGAAGGCATTTCCTTTGCTCCTACGAACATCACCACAGTGGCCCGCTGCTTGGAGTCATTCACTTTCAAGATATGCAAAATGCACAAATCATGTACAGTGTTGATGTCGCGCACAGTGATACAAACATTACATAGAAATCTTAAGTCTTGAGCTTTGAAGAGTTAATTATCAAAGGAACACCAAAGCAAGAAATCTCCTCCCAAGCCACTTTTTGTACACAGAACCAACCACCTGTACAAAAAGTACAAGAACAATGCTGGAAATTAAGCACTTTTTTTTTTCTTCGATTTATAGAGTTCTATCATCATATCTCTTGATTTTCTTCAAAACAAAAGCAGCCTTTGTAGCGGAACTTTAAAACGAACTGTCTGTTGGGCTGCGTTGAACGCAACACAATACAGACACTCTCTTGGAAATACCGATAAAGTGATGGCATTTCAAACAGATACATACAGCCCAGTTCATTAGCTTATTGCAGTTCTTAACATTTGGATGAGAGACCCCCCCCCCCAGTCCCCCATTTAGGACACCCAGTAAAATATTCAATAGGTTTTGGCTTTCACCGGCTTTTGTTTTAATCCTGAAAATGAGAGGAACAAATAGATTAAAAGGAAGGAACATGGTACATCTTGAATGAAACACACACACACATATATATATACATACATACATATATATATATATATATATATACATACATACATACACACACACACACACATACGCAAACCCCACCCTCTCCTCTTGTCTTATGATACGGCTTTTCTTGACGTACTGTAGCTGAAGCTGGCCGCCCCGCCGCCACCGCCCCTGTGCGAGATCCTGAGCGTCGTGGCGACCGTCAGGTTGGGAGTCATGGCAACGGGGAAGCCTGGGTTGGCTGCGGATGTGGATCCGGCAGTTGTGGCAACGGAAGGGGCGGACTCATTGGGACATCCGTACTGCAGCAGAATGTCGGCGCACTCCTGGCTGCCCGCCAAGCGAGCCAGGGTCAGCGCTGTTTGCCCCTGAGCGTCCTTGTACCTAACGTCACATCCGTACTGGCAACAAGGAGAAGTACAACAAAAGGATTTGCATTTTAACAAATTATACCAAACACCTAACTGGATGTTTTACACTTTTGTGATTATTGTTAAGTGACGTCTTTTTAAGAGGCATTTTAACAAAACTCATATTTGTTCCTCCTAACTAGGATTTTACTTGTGTTTTGTTTTATTTTTTTATGACCGTGGCACTGTGAGATCTGTTGCAGATATAAAGTGCCTGACAAATAAAATATAGACTTATTATTCATATATTCATTTTTATTATTATTTGGTGGCATCGCCAACGATGCAGATTTAAGGGCCATAAAAAAATGCCATGTTGTATCACGGGCTAAAAATTTTATTTACTTTTCGAGGTATAAAGCGAGATCCAACTGGCTGTCGTCAAGTGTAGGAATGCAGTATATATAGTCAATATAGTATTATGTTTCATATTGTGGGATATAATTTCATGTACCTGGGCTGAAAAGCAAAGCATGGAGAGTCTCTGTCGTAATATTATTATTATGATTATTGTTACTACTGTTAATACTACTATTATTATTCTTCATGCTATTCACTCTCCAGACGCTTTATTAGGAACAGGTGCAGGTGCACAGTCTCAGGAGATGTAGTACAAGAGCTGGATCATAAATTCCACTTTTACACACCTAACTACAAAAACAAAACAAAAAAAATGTAAACAATATATGCTATCCCTAATTTCTCTTAAGCATTCAGACAACTAAAACGTGTGTTAAAAATCAAATACATCAAGAAAATACACCTTAATACACTACCTATTGATAATTGATGAGAATTGTCCCTCTGAAAGGCTAAAAAAATCTGTTGAATGTGTGCTCTATTGCAAACTGTAACACTGTAACGATTACATCTCTCGCAGTGTCAGTCAAAATTGTAATTGTAACTTTCCATACAAGTCTGACTGGTTTCATAATGTTATGGTGGTCAGTGAGTATACATCCCAGTCAGCAAAGCCATAATGGGACACAAAGAGCAAAGTCAACTGACCCAAACGAGAAGCTGCGTCATCACCACGTTGGCCTGCTGACAGGCAGCATGAAGGGCAGAGCCGGGCAGCCGCAGCGCCAGGAGGGACCGGGAGGAGAGCGCCATGCTGGGGGGGCCATTCATGTCTTCCTTCGTGCAGTGGGCCAAGAGGAGCAATAGCTTGGGGAGATTGTGCTCCATCGCAGCTAGCAGAAGACGGCCGGAGAGTGTGATGTCGGGACCCTCGTTGGGAGTAGGAGGGGGCAATGGCGCCACAAAGAGTTTCTGCTCATATTTGGCCCGAATCCACGACTCTCGTTCCTCTCTGGAAAAAGCAAAGAAAATAAAGCGGTTGACCTTCACGGACAGCAAGAACATTGCTGCTGGCCTAAACCGTATTAGAAGCGCGGATCTACATTTCCAATGTTGCCATGGTTGTTCCATGAAATTGTACATTGCTATTCCTCACGGTCTATCCTCTTCATTTTATTTCTCTTGGTTGCACTACATGTATGTGAATGTTATATTTATTTATTTATTCATTGTCTGTTCTGCCCAGAGCTTTCTGAATCTGTGATTCTGGCCGATGAGCAGTATCAGCAATGGGACTCTGATTTGCTGGTCAGAGTGAAACTTGTTACAGTCCACGTAAACAAGCAAAACGCATCTGTATCGGCACGCATTAATTTTATTAATTTGCATCTCTGGCAATTATGATGCATTCGACTTTATATTTATTTATTGATTTTGTCATATTGTCATGTTGTGAGATAAAATATTGGCTCGCAATAACGTCAACTTCTGATTGACTGGTCAGAGTAAAAGTTGTTATAGGTCATCTGCCTCGAAACATCCATGCATTCATTTTCCGATCCACTTCATCATCACAAGAGTCTATCTCAGCCGGGGGACACCCTGAACTGGTTGCCAGCCAATCGCAGGGCACACAGAGACGAACAACCATCCACGCTCACACTCACACCTAGGGACAATTTTTGGATGTTCAATCAGCCTGCCATGCATGTTTTTGGAATGTGGCAGGAAACCGGAGTACCCGGAGAAAACCCACGCAGGCACTGGGAGAACATGCAAACTCCACACAAGGAGGCCGGAGCCAGAATCGAACCCACAACCTCTGCACTGTGATGTCGACACGCTAACCAACCGCCCTGCCTCGAAACAATAACATTTTAAAAGCATTGATTCGAAAAAGATTCTTGAGTGACAGCCTTCACTCATGGCAAAACACTTAAATCAGCGCATCTGGTTTGTCCACTGTGACATCCATAGCAAATAAACATAAATGCAAATATTTAAACTGTCATTACCTGGTAGCGTCAGGCGGAGGTTTACGGTGGCCCATCGTGCACGCCTCCCATATACAGTTCACCATGTGGTTGCCAATGGCACTGAGAACCAGTGTGAGCTCTCGCGGTAGATCGTCCAAATCGAGTGAGCGAACGCGCGAAACGTGAGTTCCCAAGTTCCTGTGGATTCCCGAACACTCGATGCATATGAGGGCGCCAAGGTTCAAACTGGCCCACGTGGGATCTCGGAAAGAAAAAAAAACAAAACACACAGGCAATCACCATCTTTAACGCTCACTCGCCACTTCCTTAGGTTCACGTCTAAACTCAGTCTAAAAAGATCCAATACAAAATCTACATCCAAGATTCTTCCTTTACAAGAAGGATAATGCAAGAAGATTATAGTCGATGAGAAGAAAGATGTTTTATTCATGAGTGGAGAAAAGTGCTATTTCTTCCGACATCATGGTGACCCAATTTTGATTCAGTGGAATAATTAACATGACATCAAAGTGGGTTTTTTTTTTTTGGTCTAAATAAAATTGGCATTTAAACTGATTTCTGTAATGCACGCCCCCGCCCTTGGAAAGCCCCCCCCCCCCCCCGGCCTCCCACGCCACGCCGCTCCCGCTGTTATCAGTCGAGTGTGCAAGAATGTGAGCAATTACTCAATAACGAACGGGCGACTTTGTTCTGTTGTTCTGTTAAGTCTTATTCATTTTCAAACTGACGCAATAAGAAGACGAAAGATGATTGATGCAGTACATGAGTAGCTTTGAAATGGTTGGATGTGGCACAGTAGACAGACACAAGAGGTTTGAGTTGACAAAGGTGTCACTAACTGGGAGCATCGCAGTCGACACAGAAGCCGTTTCCTTTTGCATTGCGAATCGCCTGCAGAGCGACGGCTTCGCTCTGGCTGTTCTTCCGAGCCTGTGAAAACAAAAAACAAAAAACACCAAGCGTACAGTGTTAGCTGTGTTCTCCTTTATTTAGCGCAATGACTGTAACTTGAACCAAATCTGCCTACGTACATGAACAAGCTTCCATAAAATGAGTTGGTATGTTAAAAGGGTTTGAAAAATTGTTTCCATTAAAAAAAAAAAAAAAAAAAAAAATCAAGAACCTGCATCAGTGCATTAACTTGTGATATCGGAGGACATTACATTTTTAAGCGCCCATCCGAGGATGTGTCCTTGTTGCAGTGGCACAAGACAATATTGCGCAGGCCTGAAATCATAACACGCTTGTGATGAAGTCGCTTCAGCAGTGGAAAAAAATAAATCAATTAAACTATCTTTATCTTTTTGACAAAAGCCAACGCGGCTGTGTTGTAAGGTCATGAGTCAAGGATGAAATGTTTTTTTTCGGTATTTTTCTTTCGCAAAAAGATAGCAGACACCATTGAATATGAGGTGCAGGATCTTAAAAAAGTTTTAATTTGTGTGTGCACGTGTGTGTGTCCAACCTTGTTCTTACTGCTCTCACACAGCTGCAAGCTGGCCAAGATCTGACTCTCGATAGCCTGCACCCAGGAATCCCGCTCCTCCACACTTTGGGCTTCAAAATGCCACGTCTGGCCAGAACTCGACACAATGACAAAGTCATTGTTTTCTTCATCTGCCTCACACACACATACAGAAACACACCCACACATAAAAGCTCTCTTAGAATTGGAATGTGTTTGCGACTTCTGCGTGATTTTTTTGAGATACTTTTTCGAAAGTATCTGTGTTATTATAAAGCATGAGATTGAACCAAGCAATTACCCATCAAACTGAATTCAATAGTTCGTTTGTAATATTCAGTAGCAATGTAGCCTTGCAGCATTTCTTTGTTGTCACTGTGAAAAACACATATGTCCATTTTGGTCTTTTTTTTTTTTTCATTGTTCATGGGGTGTCTGCATTTTGGACATCCCATGAATGCAAAAAAAAGAATTTAATTACAAAAATGGACATACATGTTTTCCACATCACAGCAATGATATGATGCAAGGTCTTTCCTTGATGTGACTCAACCACAGTAGCACGTCACAAACGATATAAGACACTCGAACACAGGTGTCAAAGTCAAGGCCCGGGGGCCAGATCTGGTCCGCGACGTCATTTTATGTGGCCCACGAAAGCAAATCATCTGTGTGAACTTCCATGATCCTTGCTTAAATCTGTACCGAAATCTCAAATTGTCATACGTAATAAATAACGGTGACATTGTGCAATAATTTTGTACCCAGTTTATACTCATTATTTTTTTTTTTTGTGTACAAGTAATAATACGATGTGATGAATAAACATTTCTTCGGTTTCACGCTCTTAACGGCCCCCCGGGGGAAGATGTAACTCCAAAGTGGCCCCCGACAAAGATGAGTTTGACACCCCTGCACTAGACAATAAGAGCTCGGAAGATGCAACGAGATAGGACATTACCAAACATTACCTGTTTTGCTCACGTTCCTTAAGCTACCAAAGCTTTTTAGTTTCCACATTTTGCGCTTGGCTGGAAAAAAAACACAACAATCGAAATCATTAAAATTGCGAGAATTCTACAATGTTTTTTTTTCATGTAAATGTTCCATAACTTCATAGTTAACAGAAAGAATCGATCCAAACTAATCTTTATTTGTGAGTTTTATAATATGGAGAAGCTCATCACCATCTGCTTGGCCAATGGTGGCGTCCCCTTTCTGGTTCATGCTCTTCTTCCTGCGATGCTTCTTCCTGTCCTCCACTGGGGATGTGGAGCCTACATCTTTGGTGGACGAGGAGCTGGACACACCCTCAACTGCAGAGTCTGCTGACACGTTCACGGACACTGAATCATCCCACACTTGGATACCTACTACTTCCAGAATCCTGTTGTTTTCTCTCACCAACACTTTGAGCGTGGTTGGAGACGTTGGAAGAACATCGCTGCACGCCTCTGTTACTCCTCAGGAAGAGAGCGCCCCCGAGCCCCTCCATGTCGTCCGCTTGCAGGAGGCTGCTGGCACTGACAGGAACTATGACAAGCATCGAGCCGAAGTAAGTAAAAAAAAAAAAAAAAAAAAAAACAACAACAACAACAAAACAACTCTGTGCTACTGTTGAACTACATAATCAACACAGAGCTCTATAACGTATTGGTCAGAGTCTCGCTATGATCTATTTATTCATCTACAGCTGCCTCTCCAAGGGTGACGCTTCTTCCGATTCCAGTGTGCTCCATTCACAAGAGCATCACATTTATTTATTTATTCATGTTCAGGTAGGACTTATTTGCCGCTTCACTCCTTATGTTCATGTTGTAAATGTACATCAGATATATTTGTTTTAAAAACACAGTATACATGCATTTTATTTGTGTGTGTGCTACTGTTGCTGTAAAAATCTGGATTCGCCAATGGTTGAACAAATACAGCTCATCTCTATTCACCCCCCCGACGGATTCTACTGGTTGCTTGTTCGCTCTCGTGAATTGCTCAGCCAAGGATTTTGTTTTCATATTTTTCATTTGTTTGTTTGTGAGCAGGATTACGCATGAGGCTATTTGACCGATTTCCATGAAAGATGCAATGAAAAAGACTCTGATTTAGACTCCAATGGTGTGAATAAAATGTCTAACAATTTTTAATAATTATGTAAGCACGCTGAGGTATTTCTAACATGTCCACTTCAAAGTTGTGAGGTTCTGGGTTCGAATCAGGGGCAAAAACCTTTGTACACCACTGTACACACCCTGCAACTGGCTGGCAACAAGTCCGGGATTCTCACCTGCAGCTCTGATAAGGGCACACTCGATAAAAATGGAGGGATTTTTCATCTTTTTTTATTTTTTTATTTCGATGTAAATAAAACATGAATTGACTGATTTAGGAATATGCAAGAATTGAGTTTTGCGGAAACCCTACAATTGTTCCTGACCCAAATTAAGATTGCAATGCCTGGTTGGGGCTCTGAGGTATACAGATAGGATTTGGTGTTGGCAATTTTATTCATCTCAATATAATTTTGCTACCTTTTATATCGGTCAAGGGATGCGCCGCACATCAGTGTATTTTCTCTCACCCAGGCCGACACCCTCTGGTCCCTGCACATCTTTGAGTCCGACTGGAGGGCCGCCGGTAGGTACGGCACGAGGGGGACGCTTGCCTGGCACCTTCACCGTCACTCGCAGCAGGTCCATTTCTTTCCCGGGTGTATTTAGCATGTAGTCCTGCCAAGTCAATAACCCCCCCATTACAACTAACTACTTTGTACCAGTTGGCTGATGTCTCAGCATTGTAAACCATCCAAAGCGCTCTGTCCAAACACACTCACATTGACATTGGAGTGGTATGACAGGATGCCATCACTGGAGAGGGTGACGTATTTCTTCTTCCACTCTTTATTGAGTGAGTTCCCGCTGCGCTTGAGCAAGAAACCCTGGTAGAGGTCCCAGCACAAAAAAAGGTGAAAATGCACTGTTGATATTTTGTGAGTGCATCTCACACGGTTAGGCAGCGTGATGGCTGGTGGCAGCCAAAAACACCCACAGCGTATTATCTAGCCGATGGGGTATGCATTAATTCACACAATGACAGGTGTCCTTAGATGTGTCATTTGAAAGGAGTCGCGGTGTGATGTCCTCTGCTCAAGTTCATTGGATGGACGAGAGATTTGTATTCTGGATCTTTGTTTTACCTGCTTGATCGGAATAAAGCGCCCGCTTCCCACGTCTCCTTTGCAGTCTGCACTTCGCCTGGCTGAGTCACTGCCTCTTCGACCCTGAAGGAAACACAAGGAGACGAAAAACATGCTTTTTAAAGTGTATTGATGCTGAAACTATTCCAGAGTGGAACCTCAAAATACACTGGGATGTTGGTTGATTGTTTGGAATGTAGTACAGGTCCCACAGGAAATAAAGGGAAAGGGAATTTTATTTATTTATTTATTTATTTATAGCACTTGTCTTCATTCGGGTCTTCATTAGATTGGACTGAAGCCTGTCCCTGCACATTTTAAATAAGCGTTGGGATACAAGCAAGACTAGTCACCAGTTAATCGCAGAGCACGTTTTGACAGCTAGGCCTAACAGAAAGGAGTTTTTATTCACTTGAGTTTCTCGTTAAGTATGAAATGCGCTGGCCACAACTAACTTCATTCTTGTGTTAGCCACCTTGAGAAAACAACAAATTCTCAAGCTCTGGGGAGTATCCACAGGCCTCACAATCTTCATTCGCTGCTCCTTCTGCTCCTGGCTCACCACCGTTTCATCGCCAGCTGGTCTGCGGCACTGAAACAGTCTGTCTCACAGCTAACGACACGCAAGCCATGCAACCTTCTGCTCACACAATAAAGCTATGTTAGCATCTCACAACTAATGATACACTGAAGACGACGTGAAAGAAATTAGACCAAGTTAGAGATGCGAGCGTTATTTTAGATTCACAAGTGGTCATTATTAATGAAGAAACTTAAAGTGGCTCGATTTAGGCAATGTCTGGCCATGCATCCGGTGTCTTAATTCGCCTCTTAGTAGCATCACTATTCATCCATGCATTTTCCGATCCGCTTTATCCTCACAAGGGTCGCGGGGCGTGCTGGAGCCTGTATCAGCTGTCTTCGGGCCGTAGGCGGGGGACACCCTGAACCGGTTGCCAGCCAATCGCAGGGCACACACAGACGAACAACCATCCACGCTCACACTCACACCTAGGGACAATGAAAAGTGTTCAATCAGCCTGCCATGAATGTTTTTAGAATGTGGGAGGAAACAGGAGTACCCGGAGAAAACCCACACAGGCATGGGGAGAACATGCAAACTCCACACAGGGAGGCCAGAGCTGGAATCAAACCTCTGCACTGTGAGGTCGACAAGCTAACCACTGGATCACCGAGCCGCCTGCCATCACTACCATGTTGCAATTTTAGACTCCATCAATGACACACATTATAAAAGCATGCAACTGTACCACATACATCATCATAGTGTTTTGTTTTGGTTTTTTTTGTGTTTTTTTTTTTTTTTTGCATGTAGGAAATCAATTGTAAAGGGAAGAATGCTGGCACTGGCAGAGAAATGAACAGGTCATAAGTCATTCGCACGTCTGACATATTACAGAAATGACACCTCCAATATAGTCACACCAAGTGGCAAATTAGACTTAACCTGCTAAACGCTGCTAATTGAAAGGAGCCCTTCGAGAAACAAAGGGATTACAACATGCACACTCCGTGCAGGCCAATTAAAAAGAACCTCTGTGGTTGAGGAGGACTCGGCTAATGTATTGAATTATGGATACGGCCAGCTTCATTGGTTTAGTCAAGTGTCATTTTTCAATTGCTTCAAAATATTTACATGCTCGCGCTTGGCATGCGCTTACCGAAAAGCGTGCGGTGCGTCTGCGGGTGGCACTGCGGACTGAGCCAGGAGTGCCACTGTCTTGTTTCTCCCCTCTTGCCGACCTGCCAATCTCTTTATGGCTAATCACAGGGGTGGAGGGAAGCGATGAGGAGTAATCGCTACTCTGACCCCCATTACTGGCCTGCAAACGAAGGAGAGGGAGAGGGGTGGGGGGGGTGACAGAGCAAGAGAAAGAGGTAAAAGGTCTCCATTGAGTCGAGGCACTAATTAATCGCGGCATGTGTAAAATGTTATTAAATATTTCCCATGACTGTGCTTGTAAAAACTGTAATTAACACAAAGATTTTTTTTTTTTATTGAAGGGTAATATGAGCCACATTACTTTTCAAGGGATGTAATTATTGCCCGCACTTTCATTACTGGGTGGCTTTTCTTTAGTTTCTTCAGTTAGAACAAAAATACACTGTATGCTCATGAGAAAAAATGGGCATTTGACCCAGGGGAAAATTAACAATAAATCAATGGATTAAAAAAAAAAAAAAAAGATGAGTTATAGTTATTTCCCATTTTCTATAAAAATAATCGATGTCTTTTGGACTGATTGATGATTGGGTGCCTTTCAATAGAAACATGTTCTCAGGTCACATGGGGGAACACAGAGCGGAACCGTGCATCTCCTTTTAACGTTCAAACACAGACTTGGGGCTTTATTTTCTTAGACAGCACATCTGCGACGTGGCGCAAATGCCGGCGGAGGCTCGCTGCGTGTGTTTGTCATTTTGGCAGAGCGGTCCCCGCCAAGCTGGGTGAGCTGGCGCAGTAGAAGGAGTACGTTGGAGATGTGCCTGACAGAATAACAATTTGGTGGCAAAAAGTGGATCTAAACCTAATGCCTAACCAGACAATGTCAATCCCTCGCACGGGTTACGCAGCTGGTGTAATGTGACGTAAATAATTCATATATATGTGCATCATTGTACTTCATTGTCTTATGTCATTCCAGTGGGTAGCACAGCAGTAAGGTGGCAAACAAAGAAAGAGTGGCACAGATGTGCTTTTGCTAGCAGGCCACATTTGAATAGAATGAGGGGAATCGCTTTGATTACCACTGATTAAAGTTGTCTGTGACCGCACCCACAGCGGCGCAGACCTCCTTCTCGCAAAAATGCTGACCTGCACTTGTTTGTGAAATTACCAATATCGGGTCTAACCCAGCTTCCGTGCAGAGATCTGCTACGCGCCGCGCAGGATTTTTGCTGGTCACGAAAATACAGTCCAGGGTTGCTTATCCTCCAACGCAAACTGACACTGGCGTTCAACCCAGGAGACAACAGCAGTAATGTGACATATTCTTTCAATCCTTTACCTGTCCTGGATAGACACCAGACACTGGGGTGGAGCCTCCAGAGTGACTGGGAGAGTTTGGAAGAGATTTACAGGAAGCTAGTAAAGCAGCTTGCTTCTTGGAAGCCATGATCTTCTGAGCAGCTGCGGCAAAAATAATGATAAAATAGTTTATACACGCACACACATAAAGTTTCCCACATATGTTTCAAGAGTCATAGTTGATGAGGCTGTGAGATACCATCAGTGAAGACCCTGTTGACGTTGAGGCCGTACGTGGCACATGTTTCGTAGTAGGTGCAACGGCGCACGTCTGAGCAGAGCTGCCTGGCCCGAGCGTCGTCGATGACCCTGGGGTTGCTGCTGCTGATCTTATCTGGTGAAGACACAAGTATTAAATCACACCTAGAATGTCTGATATCTCCTGTAAAACCCATTTTATTCCCCCATATAACCACTTTTTCTATTTTTTTGTTTCGTTGTCTCAACGAGAACGCTCACGGCAGAATGCTGCTTCCATAAAATGAATTGCTTCTGTTCAAGGTTTCTTCCACAGTAGCTTTTCCTTGACCTCCACAAAAGTGTTGCTTATGTTAGGATTTGACAACTCCGAAGCCCCGCTATGGTGTTATGTACTTAAATTGGCATTACTATGATCACAATTACAGTGGTCAACTAATATTTCAAGTAATGCTTCTTAACCTGTGCAAAATTTGACCATTTACATTTTATCTTTACACATTTCCTCACCTAGTAGAAGATGTGCGTGCACTGAAAATGCGAAGACCCATTGCATGCATTTTGCCGCCTCCCACGAGGCACGACTCAGACAGTCAAATCGTTTATATTCCGAGCAGATTTGCAAGAGGAGTGAGTGGGCGTGTGAAAGCTCGACAAGCAGTGAAGCAGGTTTAGAGTAAACTGAAAATCAGGTGAAAGGAGTCAAAGCTGTTAGGTTTCGAATATTAGTTTGAAGTGTTTTCAAATTTGCAACGCTGAAAGTTTACAGTCCTAAATGAAATTCAAAAGCACTTCATTTCAAACCATATTTTCAATAGATCAGGCAAAATAAGATAAAACAGTAAAACACAATCTTGTTCACTCTAGGGATGCTCTGTGCTGCCGTTGTTAACAAGCCAAGGTTTCTCAGCATATAGAGTCAGAATTTTTTTTCATTTTTCCCCCTGATATTTAATTTTTTTTGAAGGGGGAGGTGCAGGGGGTTGTGGAGGGGCGGAAGATCCATCTACTAATCTAACCAGTGATCTTTTTTTTTTAAACTTGCTTATCGGTGACCCGCTCCAAAATCCTGGTCGTGTCAAGAATTTTAAAAACATATTTCTGCTCAAGAAATGTTTTATCACAAAAAAGAAAAAAAAAAACTTATCAACATTGTTGGAATCCTTTTAAATGTTATTTGACTGTCAGTGCCAAAGTCTAAATTCTCGCGTCCACTCTGATAAATTTAAATACTTGACAGAATTTAATCTTGAATTTAAGCAATGATCTGGCCTGGACCTCTTTAAAATGCGTTCATGACCGCCTCACCCTGTGTGCCCACGACTACGAAAGGTATCTCGGTGACAGGCCGGTGGACGGCAAGTTGATGGTAGATCTTGTACACTTCCTGGAAACTGGCCTCGTTTTCCAAACTGAAGACCAGGATAACCGCATCGAGCCAGCTTGCGAACTGAAGACAAGGCAGACAAAGAGCAGGCAATGCACAAGAGAAGGACTGATTCGTTTTAGATGCAAGCTAAGGTCGGTTTCCCAACTCACCTGGGCTCCTGGGAGTTCCGTCTCCTCTCTGATGATCAACAAGTGGCTCTGCCCATCAATCAAGACATCCTTAATGTACTGACGCCCTGGATTATACAAATCATGATTAAGACTTGCAATCGAAAACAAGGAAAGAACATACATTTTTAACTGTCTATATCGAGTTCTTCCACGTTGGGTGGAAATGTGAAGGAGTGTTTGTCTTTGTGGTCCCTGCAATTGGCAGCCACAATCAGCCCAAGGTCTGCTCCAAAGTCAGCTGGGAAAAGCTCCAGCTCACCTGTGACCCTAGTGAGACGAACCGCCACAGAAAACAGATGGAAGGCTCGATGTACAGACAGATGGTATTATTGTACCTAATGTTATGGTCAAAGAACGTATGAGTGAGTCTGTCATGAAAGAATGTGGACATGATTCGAGTGCGAACCCAACCGACCTTCGGCATTCTCCAGTGACAGGTAACTTCCTGTCAAGTGTCTGTGGACCAGCGCAGACTTCCCACTGCACAGACCCCCCAACACAGCCTGACACACAAACACACACACACACACATTAAGTCACTAAGAATCTCATTTCAAGTCAAAGCTTTGATGATGAAGGCAGACAATCTTACCAGGTGAAGTTCTTGCACAGTTTGAGTGATGGTCCATTCCTGACTGCTGGTGCACGCAGCTAGAGCCAAAAAGGAGAACGTGGTTCATAAAAGCAGTGATACGTGAACAAACAGGAGCCAAGTTTGAAAACTGATGTCGGTCTTGACTTTCATGCTTTGCTTCTTCTCATGAGAGAGACATCATGATGACTGAGGAGCCCATTAAAATGTCAGGCTGACAGTGGATTTCATTTCTGTGGATTTGTTGTCTGACTCGTCCTTGAGCTGTCATCTGTCACAGAGGTTTTCAAGGTGTGAGCCGGTAAACTTCCTCTCGGTGATCATAAAACAGCTGATGCCTTCCCTACTCCCCGTCCTCCAATATACACACTCTAAATGTTATAGACATAAAAAGACATAACCCAGACAAGAAAATTCATTCCAAAACAAACCACAGTTGACGCTCACATTCACATCTAGTGCCTTCCGAAACACTCATTCAAATCTCTTAGAATGTGTAAAATGTTTCTTTTTTTTTTTTCCTCAGTGGATATACCTAATTTGTTCAACACACTGCCTTGCGAACTACAATGTGTGTCATTTGTGATTAAATGATATTCAAATGTTTCTGTAACATGGTTGGTTTTATTATCCACAAAAAAAAAAAACGAGTCATTTTGATCATGTGTATTCTATTTTTAGAATCCTTTTGAACGCATTGCATTTGTCCCTTTTGCTTTAATCCATTGAAAACCTTGAAGAAAATTGAAATATATCTGTGAAACAGTACACACAGGCACGATGCAGGCTATGTGCTCCTTCAATGCAGACATTCGCTAAATACAGTATCGCCACCATCATTGTCCAACCTGTTAGCACACATACAAACAGAATACATGCATGAGGAAATAAAACTACAATTATAAGGGCAGGGGAAAAAAAAGGACATCGACTGAGTATTTTAACAGGTTTTTCACTATATGGCGTAAACACACCCTGGGTGATTCTGCTCAAGAGATGAACATTAATGTGGCCATGGAAACCATCGTTAGTCTGCATGACTCAGTCTGTTTGCACACACACACACACACACACGCACACACACACACACACACACACACACACACACACACACACACACACACACACTCGCGCCCATGCAGAAGGTCCTTCTTGTGATGTTGTGCAAAATACACCCACACTGTCGTCTGTCGCGCTGGGGACACGTTCCACCTTAAACCTCGTTTGACAACTGTTCCCCTGCAACCCCTCGCCCTAATCCTCCATCTTTGGACAATCCCTGCGCTCCCCTTCATCGGCGTCACACCACCCACCAAACAACAACTCTCACAGCTGGCTGTTGCCACGGCAACTCCTTTTTCCAGAAGCCTCCATACAATGAATGGTCTCTCTCGGTCGCGGCGACATGTGAAAGGCATAAAGAGGCAGTGTCCATCTGTGTCTGCGTGTGTGTGTGTGTGTGTGTGTGTGTGTGTGTGTGTGTGTGTGTGTGTGTGTGTGTGTGTGTGTGTGTGTGCCACCGTGCGTGCAAACGGAGTAAATATCACTTTGTGTCATTTACACCTTAATAATTTAAAGACTACAGGTGAAATGTAGACGACGTCACATTACTCTTTAAGAGTCAACGTGTCGTCAATGTGAATGCTGATGACCATCCACACAGAGCAGGAAGTAGTACCGTAGCTTGTTCTCTGCATGAACACAGCTCTATGTCTCCCCGACCTTAATTATTCATGTCCCACTTACTCCTTACAAATTATTCAGCGCTTGCTTCGATACCACAATCACCATCATACACAACTTCCATCAGTTTAGGGCTCGAGAAAAGGGAGCATCTTGTTTTTAATATTCTCATTGACAATATCAATATTTATGCTGCTGTTTGATTTTGACAAGACTGAACCATTTTCCTGTTTGCTAACAATTTTATGTGAAGCCTTGTTTGTTTAAAAAGTCGCACTTGAGGCCCCTGGAGTTGTTTGAGGATTATTAATTTAACAATCTTGACACATTGTCATATTCTGAGATTTTTAAAAAGTCAGAGTCAATCACTACCAGGATGCAATTAACATCCATCCATCCATCCATCCATCCATCCATCCATCCATCCATCCATTATCTGAACTGCTTATCCTCATGAGGGCCGCGGGTGTGCCAGAGCCTCGGCCAGCTGTCTTTGGATTGATTTTCCTTGCTATAGCGGATCTAAAATGTCGCCACACCCCTGGTCAAATGCAAATTTTTTTTGTTTAAAAAAAAAAAAAAAGGGCGAGACCAAGATAAATTATGAATTTTTTTTCTCATCATTATTGAGACCTATAACATGTACTTACTTGGGAAAAAAAATGAAACCTTTCAAGAGGGCCAATAAGAGGTGACTGTGTTCAGAATCAACCAGCCACAAAAGGCCACCATACTTAGAGTGAAGCATGGTGGTGGTTATCATCATCCTTTGGAGATGTTTTATCAGCTGGAATTTGCGCCTTAGGTTGAGGTGAAGCGGAATTATGAAGAGTTCCAATTATTGTGTGTTAGCACAAAACTCCCAGGCTTTGACTACAACTGAATAAAATGCCAGGAAAAGCCAACTAGAAAAGCTAAACGTTATTCAGTGTTTATCAGAGGCATTTTAAATGGTGGCAGGTGTGTGCTGACTTATGAATTTGCATGTGATTGGTTAATTCTGAACAGAGCCACATTCTCAGTTTTAAGAGGACGTGAACACTTTTGGAACTATAAAGGATATATTTTGGTTAATTTTTTTTTAATATCACAAAAACCTGGCATTTGAATAGGGGTGTGTAGACTTTTTATATCCACTGTACAATATATCCTTCCACTGCATGAAAGACACGAGTGAATACATTTTCAAGTGTACCCCATAGGTGTATTCCAAGTTGCCACTATGAAAGCGCAAGAAAGGGGTAGCAGCAAGAGTTTAAACATGACAGACATTGTCAAAACAAGCCCCTATTTTAATTCTCCATCAATTTATTGTTAACAACATTATGTAACCCAATAACTGGTGTCAGGAAATGGAATAGCCAGTTAAAATGGTTAATCCCTTGGTCGGATTTCACTGTAAGTTGAAGTTGGTTATCTTCTTACTATAAATGGAGATAAAAATACGAGTTAGAAATACCAATGAGACATGGTTGCCATTTTGTGTTTTTTACACTTTGAGAATCATTTGTATGCCAGATCCTATCTGACAATTGTTTTGCACCATTCTCAAACATTCCTGGTCAATCAGATACTGTATACTAATTATAATACAGTATTAGATATGCCTGTGTTTAAAGAATGAGCTGAACGGTGAGAGCAATTCTGAGAATCAGGTGGGAGTTGGTAATATATGATCACGATCGATAGTATGACTGCTCCTTTATTTCAAACCAGAGAGGTCGAGATATGTTCCTGCAATCAAAGTTTTGCATGGGGATCTTCTCGCTGTAGCATCGGTGTGTCATTGACAGCGGAATATAGCTGCAGCGTTTGAAATAATGGGCCGATTAGAAGTCCAACGTGTATGTTAAAAGTACAGCGAGCCCACCATAGATCTCTGTCATGTTCTCCGAGATGAATCAATGAAGAACTTACCCTCCTCCTCGCTGGAGCCCCTGTCCGCGGCGGGATACAAGGCGGATGCAGTGCTGACATTTGAGGGCACAGCTGCACTTTTGGAGAAAATGCCACTAATGAACTTGAGCATCTTGCGGTCACGGACGGGAGCTCTATGGATTGTTCCTCCTTGGCCCTCTTTCCCTCTCCTGGCGTCCTCAGAGAGGCAATGTAGGTCGCTGTTATCCAGAGTACGACTGGTGGTTTTTCTTGGAGGCCGGTTCACATCGCAGGTAACTGGTGTAACCAAGGAAACCTTAAATCTGTCCTCGTGAGAGTTCTCCCTGTTCATGATTCCGGAATAGCCTCCACTGAGGGGAGCCGCGGGACGAATGAGCGTTCCTCTGCCATCGCTGTCGGCCCAAGACGCCCTGTAAGGCCCCAGAGTTGTAGCTGCCATTAAGGGGGACTGATCCCCGATACGGTTATCCCTCCGCTCCAGAGTCTTTGCAGAGTGATACAAGCTGTTGTTGGCTTCTCGGGCTTCCTTCCAGCATGCTGCGTTGGCTCCCGTATGCGGCCTCATCAAGACTTCGGGGCGCTGGCTAACCTGAGGCGGCACTGAAAAAGGGAGGCTGCAGCGGGAACGGTTGTTGAGCTCCGCTCCGTTTTCGCCCTTTGGGAAGAGCCTTGGAGGCTCCCGATAGAGTTCGGTCTTGGGACGCGAGGCATCGCTGCGAGGTCCCTCTCTGCGTACGGTGGTCTCGAAGCTGCTGCCGCTGTACACCTTCACCATTTGCCTCAATGAAGGGTGGACGGGAGCAGTGTCCTTGCTTTTAGCGATTGGGACGTCTTTTTGGTCTCTTCTCTCCGCTTTGATCCACTTCTCATTCGGGCTGCCATACTTGACATGCACCTGCTCCACTTCTTCTCCCGCTTGTGCGCTCTCTTTATCCGACGCTTGTGGACCAACACGTATTTCCTCCTCTTTTGGGGCATGTCTCACCTCCTCACTCTCTTTCGGGCTGCCTTCCCCCTCCTTCTCCACTTGTTTCCCAGCTACATCCTCTGGCAAAGCCTCAACCTTCACCAGAGTGAGGGAGATGAGATAGGTGGTGCGTCTCTGTGGGTTGTCTGCTTGGCTCATTGGGACGCAAGACCTCAGCACAGTAGCACCTTCTCTCCGACCAGGCCACGCATGCAAAACTCCGTCATGGCAGCGGGAGTGAACTGAAACAGAGAAGAGAATCTTGAATTATTGTACGGTTTGGAAAAATGGATGCTGGACACAATTTTAGAAAACATTTAAATGCCTTACACAGTGGAGACCGCATTTTTTTCCCCCTCACTTAATCCCCATCCATGCACACTGCTACTACTTGTCTCTACCACTAATTCATTCATGATCCTTTCCTTGCTTTAGCTCTTATGTACAAATCTGACAGGTAGACGCATAGATGAAAGCATGATGCCCGGGGGTTTCTAAGATGGTAATATGCATTTGATTTAGCTATCGTTGCACTAGAAAAGCCACAAATGTCACATTCCCCCAGAATTTTTTCCCCCCTGAATTGTGTTCATACCGTCATTCTGTTGCACAGCAATTAGATAGGTCCTGGTTCAAAAATGAATGATTCTTTTGGCGATCGAATGGTATCAAACAGGATATCAGGTGGAGCAGATGATGAAGAGCTGATCCATCCAAAAGGGAAATAAAAATAGGTGAAAGTGAGCCTGCTTTGGGGGGGAGTAAGAAGGAAATCATTCACTTGTCACGATGCGTCTTGCAGCTGGAGCCTCCATTTGACAATGTCATGCACAAAACCAGGAATTCACAGCAGGATGACTACTGGGGGGGTGGAAAAAAAGCCCATCTGTTGTGACATAGCGCGAAAATGGAAGAAATTCTAAAATAGCCCACAATGCTTCCTTGTCTGTATCGGTCCCTTGGAGAAAATCTCCTCTCGGTCACCGCATCCTCTCCTCCGAGCGCCTCGTCCAATTAGCAAGTCAATAAAATGTGTCTGTAAGGCAGAGGAAGCCCACCAGCTCAACACAGCCCCTCCTCCCTTTTTCCTCCCCTCAAAGCCTCCAGTTACTCTCCCGTAATCCTGCAGCACAACTGGACTCGCTTGGCTCCAAGGAGAAGCTAACTGTGAGGTGGTGGCGGTTGTTGCTCACGTTCATCAGATTTTTATTGGTGCGCACTACAAAAGAGATGGAGGGTGGTGGTGGTGGTTGCCAGTATTCATCTGCCCTGGTGCTCTCTCTCTCTCTCTCTCTCTCTCTCTCTCTCTCTCTCTCTCTCTTCTGTCCTTTCCAAAGCAATTTATGGGCCTGCTCGCACTGCCTGGCCGCTCATGTACAAAAGAGAAGATGCACAGGATGAGATTAATTAGCATATCTAGGCTCGTAGACTACATTTAACATCAAATGAAAAACTGGAAGATTTAGGAGCAAAAGAAGAGGGAGAGAGAAGGAAGCATGAAAACCTCGGGAGGCAAAATGTCACTTTTGTCAATGACAAAAAGACGCTTTGCCAAGGCCAGCTACTGTATGCCGTCCTCTTTCTGTAGCACTTGTCCTCATTAGGGTTGCGGGTGAGATGGAGCCTATCGCAGCTGACTTTGGGCGAGTGGTAGGGTACACCCTAGACTGATCGCCGGCCAATTAATTGCAGAGCACAAATAGATTAACAACCATTCACGGCACTCATTCACACCTCCGGACTCTTTTGGGTCTTTAGTGTAACAATTTGCATGTTTTTGGAATGGAGGACAAGGCGCAAGCATTGGAGAACATGTCAATTCCAAACGGGAAGACGAGTGCAGCATTTCGAATCTCACAAATGTGAGTAAAACATGCAAACTGCTATTCAACTGTGCTGCCCCTACCAGGGTCTAATTTTGATTGACGCCAAATTGAACAGGTCTACTTTGTGCATATGCCTGAACTTTGTTTGTCGAATGTTATTCAATATGAAATGTTCACATAGGTGGAGGGGGGTTTCTGAATACATATTTTAATTTGGATTTTCAACAAAAATATCTCCTTGGAGGAGGGGAAATGATATTGTTAGGCAAAAGACAAACCAAACAAACTGAAGAAGACTAAAGGGAAACATGATGACGAAGAACATTGAACCAGCACAGATTGAATGAAAGCACTGAAGTAAGTACAAACACATTCACAGGACATTGAGGCACACCTGGACAAGACGAGTAGCTGGAGGAAGCTAACTGGTTGACGCAAGGAATAGCGGTGATGAGAACAGATGGAGCCAAAAACCAAACTAGCAGACAACCCATGAACATGGGACACAGGAAAACAAGCCATAACATGAAACAAACAATTTAATCAAATCAATGCAAAAGCCAATATGAATGCTGATAGTGACAAAAATATGATATCATACAGGAATTTTCAAATGTACTGATGACTAACATGCATGTGTGACCATGTTGATTTAACAGCAAGCTTAATTTAATAATAACCTACCTTGCATGAGGCAAAAGAGAGTCCCGGTAGACGATGCACTTTTCTCCATTAATTGAATGCCAGGAGAACAATACAACACAGTTGGTACACTTATGGTGAAGCTGCTGTTGACCACAGCTCTCATTCACTCACTCGCAAATTCTCAAACGTCACATGCTACCGTGCCAATCCCGGACTCTTCTTACAATGTGTGTTTCTGTGTTATTATACATTTGCGATGTGTTGAAAAAAACAGTGTTTCAAATAAGTTTAAAGTATTTTATATATATATATATATATATATATATATATATATTAACCTCACTTTGGCACGTGTTTTACTCTCGCTGTTCTTCTCATCACGTGCTATCAACTAGCTAGCATGCAGCATGTGAGCAATTTAGTTTATCGTGTTATAATACATTTAATAGTTTAAACCATGGGGGGGGGTAACTAAAAATATGTCTCAAATTGTTTTTTTTAATCTGTTTGAAGCACAAATCATAAATTGGTCAAAATGTGAGTGGAGGCAATTATTTTCAGATGGTGACGATTTGGAACATCACAACTACACAAAGTGTGAAACAGTTAGCGGGCACCTTATCTGTGAAGGATTTGTCTGGGATCAGTTTTTAGCGCTGACACGATTTGTGGTGCTAGATTTCAACCTCTGAGACACCTAATTAAATCACGAGACTTGAGTTGATTTGTTTATTGCTGTGACCTTTTCGCTTGCCAAGGCCTTGCATTTCCGATTCTATTGCACACTTAGACCAGTTAAACAACGTTTGGTAAACATACTGACATTTGTTTAGGCTATCTCACCTCACACCCGTGTATGGGCTTGACTTTTAAGGTACGCGAACAGGGACTCATTTTGGACACATTAGACTTTTCTTCCGCATCTGCGTGGCCGATAAGACGACAAGGTTGTGTATTCGAGCTTTTTGGAATTCATCTCTATTGGTATTAAACCTATTAGGCTTTAACTCGCAGTCCTCGGGCTGGTCATTCATCATATAGCGAGCAGTCAAGGCAAAAGAACCCAGCAGAAGTTCAGACAGAATTGAACAGTGACACAAAATGAACCTTTAAGTCATTGAGTTGTTTGGTGATTAAAGGTGTTTTTATTCCTTTGTGGTTGCAGTGCAGGCTGAATCCAGAAGGTTTTTACACACACACACAGACACACACACACACACACACACACACGCACACGCACACGCACACGCACACGCACGCGCACACGCACGCGCACACGCACACACACAAACAACAACAACAATGGAATCTGAAATCCACCTCTTCAGTCATTCAATAAGGACAAAGATTTTTCCGAAATGACTTTGAGGGTCATTGATGTTACGGTGTGTATTTTCAATTGACTCAAGAGTTGCTCACAACCAAAATGTCAATTCTGTCACTTTGTGGAGGCTGTAACTAAATGCTGTGGGACAAATGGAGCACAAACAATATTGAAAAGTCATGCTATTCTAACATCAATAAGTGTGACATTTACATTTTGGAAAAACATGTCGGTGATCCATAACTTTGCTCCGTTTCAATGTGATTCCTTTTTTCAATTGTTTTCAACACTGGAGTAATAAAAAAAAAAAAAAAAAGATCTCAGGGCACAGGAGGGACTCCTTGAGTGTGAAATCTTGTGGGCAAAGCTGGGCTGTTACCTCTCTTGTTGCTGTTTTTTTTTTTTTGCAGCAGCAGCTCAGCTTTATGTCTCAGTCAATATCTCCTCATTGCGAAAATATGGATGATCTAGTGCATTCAAGGCGGATATTCGATCACAGGGGTCAAAGGTTAACATTTCCTGGAAGAAAGACAGAAGAGTGGGATATTAGAAAAGTCCAATTGAGAAGTGCCATTCAACCGTCTTGAAAGTCAGCCTGAAAACAAGCTGACCATTTGCTCTCAAACACACAATTTGAGAATCCGCTTTGCAAACATTGATAGCTGCCATTTTACGGGATGTTTTGCCCTCATCCTGGATGAAGCCAGTTGCTAGGCAACAGAAAGAGATTTGGAGAAGTTCTTGGATAAAAGATTAATCAGGGTCAAGTTTTGCGATCACGGTTGTTGTTTTGTACAACTTTTTACGACATCATATATACCCATACATATGCAGAAGTTTTAATGGACAAAAATAAAATAATAATAATAAATTTGAGTTTTACCAGCACTGTAGAGCTTTGAGAAAGTACTTAGCTTATGACCGAGTAGCATTTTGCTTTGTGATGGAATAGCTGCAGTAGGGTAAAGGTGTATGCTTGTTGCTTATATCTTATTAACAACAACAACAATAAATTCTATGAATAATATATTGATTGAAAATTTGTTCTGACTGAATAAATTCTATCTGGCTATTAAAGCAGTTGGCATGTTTTGCAGGTTTGCTTTTACCCTGAAAGTATCCTGAAAAGTTTGCACACAAGCTCAAAGAGAATCCAAATTAAAATTGTGATTAAGAGAAGTTGACATACATTTTATTTTTAAATAAAATCATATTTGGGGTTGGGGGGGGAAAAATGTAAATGTGTACTTGTTACAGCAGAGTGGCATTATTTATCTATTTTTCGCCACATTGTATCCTTAGCATGAGGCAAACCTATGCAGTTGCCCGAGGTCCCGCCATTTCCTGAGGCCCACAAACGTCTCATCAAACCGAATTATTAAAATGTACAGGATTGAAAGCTGTTAGCATCATTTTACTGCGCATGTACACTTAATTCGGGAAGATGTAAAATTTTTACAGTGACAACAAATGGTTTGGGCGATTTTGATGGTGAGGAGGATTCAACGAAGAAGAGATTCATCACGAAGATGTGAGGATTCAAGCATTTAAGCACCCAATTTACAGTAATTTTGAGAAATACTGGTGACTTAAATAAAAAGAGCGACAAATACCGGCTAACATAATTGCCAGATTAGCATAACGTGTATCTGGTCAGGGATATAAACTTTAAGTTTACAAACAAGGCTCAGCATTTTCTCAAACTTTCTTCCTTAAAGGCGGAACTTTTAACGCAGATCTGCTCAAGAATGATTGTATTCTTTATATTGTTATGATGTCAAGTTCTCACATTTGAAGGGCCATTTTGGAAATGCTTTGATTGATTTCAATCGATAGCAGTTCTACGCTAACATACTGCAATCCTGGCAATTTTTTGAGGTTTCCTGAGTCAGCAGGAAGTCTCAGCTTGCATTTCGGTTAACATGCTGATCGGCTGTCACTTGACATCCACATCACTGACATCTTACCAGCAGCAGTTGTGCTCCCTGCTCATTTATCTCTGGAACAAAGTCAGTTATTGGGCGAGCCGAGAAAGGGGGGAAGTGTTTTCTTGAAATTGTAACACCAGTTGGCCACTCCTCCTCTGGTGGCAGGCCAATCACTCTGCAATGACACATTCAATTTCAGTGAAATAGGAATCACATCTCACACTGAAGTAACTCTGCATGAATGTGTGACTCACTCAAAGATTTTCCCGAGTTGGTCCACTTCGGATTCTCCACAGAACAAGGGTCTGACAGGAAGAACAGTTCAAGAATTACAATGTTAATTGCTTCCTCGACTTTCAGATTGTGAACGCAACATCCAATACTAAAGTTATAATTTGATAAGATAAGATAAGAAAACCTTTATTTGTCTCACAATGGAGAATTTCGCAATTTACAGCAGCAACATTTTGAAAGGAAGAAAGTAGAAAAACAAAAAGTATACGCTTGCACAAAAATAAATTTAAAAATGAACTGTACACAGTACAGAATGAAATATAAAAATATAAAATATAAGCATATATACAACTGCATATATGTTGCATAAGGCGGCTGTGCTATTAAAATGGGTGAGTGGGGGTGAGCCCAGGTTTTCACGTACGTTGATTCAAGAGACTGACAGCAGTCGGCAGATAATTGAAAAGGAGAATTTTTATTTATTTTTTTTACATTGCAAATGTACTGAATGTCCAATTAGGACACATTTATTCACGAGGTCACCTTCTTAGGTACTTTTGCAGTCCGATTGCTGTCAAAAGTCCGCCTTCAATTTCTGTTCCTAATATTTTAATGACCTTTAGGTTCAAGAGAAGGGAAAAACAATTGCAGCATGTGGTGCATTTACAGTATATGATTACAAACAACTTTCCAGAGTAAACCTCCCACTTTCTACATATGCATCAAAATCAAATTTGAATCCTCCCAACGCAGGGACTAGCATTATATCGACGTCACAAACAGTGTCTTTGAATCCGATCAGCAATCCCGTTGACTCACTTGCGTTTGAACATTTCCGCAAAGATGCAGCCGGAGCTCCAGATGTCGACAGGTGTGGCGTAGCTCGACTGCAGCAAAACCTCAGGAGGCCGATACCACAGTGTCACCACCTTAGACAGACGCATGCGGCAACCAGAGGATGAATGAACGACCAAAAACAAGACTGTTGAAATTAAAACTTTGAGCAGCTTGGAAATGTTCAGATGACATTCTACGGAGAACTGCAGCGGCCAAACTCTATTTTGTTATTTTGCAGGAGACTGATTTCAAGTTGTATGGCTGCAATAAAAACTGGGAATTTATATCTTGGCTCTTTATATGGCAATTTTAATTTTGGGGGGTTTTATTTTACGGAAGTTGTCCCAGCGTCCCATGAAAGATGATATAAAACAGTCACGTAGACCTAGCAAACAGATGCACGGGCAGCCAAGTTGGCGCTACTAGTTTTATGTGCTTTCTCCAATTCTTTGAACCTTACTTTCCGCTTTTGCAGGACGTGAAACTTTTCATGAGCACAGCCTACTCAGAAATGGGAGATGGCCCACTTACTGCACTAGCGAATCAGGAAAAACGCTGAGTGCGATAATGCTGTACTACCTTCTATACTGTATCAACATTGGTAATAAACCTGGATTGAAACCAGTGTTCATCGGAAAGACCTTTTTTCTATTCATTTCTGCATTTAACTTTAAAATTACTAAAAAAAAAAATGAAATTGAGTTAGCCCACAATTAAGGAGCAAGCCCTTGAATTCTCTAGGACAAGTTCATTTTTGGAGGAAAATGAACATGGACAGAATGACCTCAATGATAGCCACTTTAAATCAAATCCACCAAGTTCCTGTGAGTTCTTGCCCATGGATGAAAACAAAAAATGAAATGAGACTTTAGCTTGCATTCTCAGCAACAACGCACATCATTTACTCATAGAAGCTACGGCACACGATTAAATCCCTTTTTAGATAGAGCATCAGAATTTGTATATTTTGTCAAAAGCTGTCAATATCCAGCTCATAACGGTGATAAATATAACCAAGTCAGCTGATTCTTACCACGGGAGTGAGGGCCATATGGCAACTGTACATGCGCGCTAGTCCGAAATCAGCCAGCTTCACCTGACCCTGGCTGGTTACCAAAATATTCTCTGGTTTCAGGTCTCTGTGCATCACACGGTTTGAGTGCAAGAATGCCAGACCGCACAGCAGTTGTTTCATCAAGTCCTGCATAAAAACAAGCAGATACATGTCATCCAAAACTACAAAGTTGGAGGAGTACCCGTAGAAACTAATGAGATCCAAAACAACAGCTCTGACTTTTAATACAAAAACGCTCACGGTGGTATTAGTTGTAGAATATGATTATAAGTATTTTAGAACGCAGGTGGTAACAGAAGGGTCAATGGCTGGACGAGCAAAAAACATGGGAGATGCCGTTCAAGGTAATAACTTGGGATGCACTGATACCATTTTTTTCCAGACCGAGTACAAGTACTTCCATAAGAGGACTCGCCAATACTGAGTACCGATACTTCATAATGTCAATACATTGTGATTATTTTGAAACAAATGGGCTTAATTTTCATCAAATATTGTTGAAAAACATTTGACTAAACATGGCATAAGTAACACATCTAATGAAATGTGTTTTACAAAAATATAACACATTGGAATAATCTTATTGTACTTGTCCGGGAGACATGTCCTGCTTCTTTTGGGGTCGGATAACGCAAGTAGATTCAGTGAAAAGATGGAAGATAACTTCACAGAAAATGAAGAATTTGTTATATTTCTTGTCATTTTTCTGCGAATGTTGTTGCACTATTTGCGTTTGAATATTCGTTAGCTTTAGCTTTATATTGCAACATGAGTGTCACTCATTAGCCTGTCAGTGCTTCGCATGTGTTAGCATTAGCCTAGCAGACATTAGCAAGACCGTGTTGGCTTCCACATAAAACATGCAGTTCTCTTTATTTTGTGTTCGTTTTGCCGTAAACTTCAACTGGGCATGCCGATCAACAGCTTGAAACAATTCTACATCTCATTTTGAAGAGTTGTTCGCTATCTGTCAAACTACACATCACGCGCTCAGGGAGGACAAAATGGTTTTTCATATTATAGACTGGCAATAGGTATTGCGGTATGCGGAGCCTTTTTACAGCATCGGCACCAAAACCGTTGCACCCTGTGCAGTTGTACGTTATTACAAATTGCAACAACAAGAAGAAACAACTAATATCAGTAAGTTTAAATCCAAAAGATGATGTTTAAAAATGCTCAACAATGAAGTTACAGAGAAAGTGCTCACTTTGATGCGTTCAGGGGCCAACCCTGGAGCTGGCGCTTTCTCCAAGTACGTTTTAAGATCTTGCTCCACGTGTTCAAAGACTAAAGTCACTTTAGTCTCCTGGTCTGTCCTCTGGGTGGCACACACGTCCATAAGCCTGAAATGGAGACGGGAACGGCGACAATGTTTGAGGGTGTGTTCTCAAGAACCCGCACACAAGAGGCTGAGTGCACACCACTATCTTACCTCACCACATTGGGGTGGTCAAACTGCTCCAGTCGCTTTAACAGAGCAACCTCTCTGACCGTGGAGATGGGCAGGCCATTATGGTCTGTCTGGACCCGTACGCTTTTGAGAGCCACAAACCGACCACTCTCCGTATCACGGGCCTTATAGACTGTCCCGTAAGCGCCGCCGCCTATCTCTGCCACTCGCTCATACTGGAGGCTGGTGCCGTGGGCCATGACCGGTTTCGCACTGAGAGAGAAATACAAATCGCATCACATTGTTTTACAATGACAATTTACGAGCAACCAGAAAGCACAGAGCTGAGGCTTAAACAATTGTCCATTTTTAGATTCTGGTTCGCTCTTCATCATCTGCGAAGACAACTACTGTAAGGGAATTCATTTTCCTTGTCATTTTGCTTCTCTCTGCAGCCTACTTGGGAAGGAATGAGACCCACAGTCAGGCGCAAAGGGCCCTGGGTTCCTTCTGTCTCGTGTGGCTGAAGTGTACCAGCTGTATGTTAAAGGCATTGACGCTATTGGCTGGCCCATCTGTTCCCCAGAACCTCATCTCAGGAGAGCACCTTTGGGACATCCCGTGTCCTTCCCCGCCACCATGTAGCAAATTTTCACTTGGGTTTTGAATCCAGTCCTCTATGGATAGCGCTTATCGTCATTAGAGTCAAGGGTGAGCTGGAACCAATCCAAGCTGACTTTGGGCCAGAGGCACGGTTCACCCTGGACTGGTCCGCTGGTCGATGAACGTTTGCTTGTGTATTGGAGCAGAGCATATATTAATGTTTGTTTAATGTTGTGTGTGCGAAGAATGTCTGTAGGCATCCCCCCTCTCAGCCCAAACCCACATCTGGAGCATAAAAAAAGGTTAGGGACCATTGGTGTAAACCACCTGCAAATGTGTACAAAAGAACTCCTGCACTCTCATGATGACTTGCGAGATGACGCAGCTAACTTATTCACCAATTTTTATCACCATTGAAATGCCAAATGTTTCTGCTTTTCTGCATTCCTTCTCATGACGTTTTAGTACAGTAGGGGCTGTTCTGTCGATCAATTATTACCTGTGAGGCCTCTTTTTGGATTAACTAACACTGTAGAGAGGTGTGTGTGTGTGTGTGTGTGTGTGTGTGTGTGTGTGTGTGTGTGTGTGTGTGTGTGTGTGTGTGTGTGTGTGTGTGTGTGTGTGTGTGTGTGACTTTGATGGTGCCTCCAAGCCCTGCTGGGTCAGAGCTTGTTCAAGGGGGACAAATGCGCCGCAGCTTGGATTGTTTCTGCAGGGCAGAGTAATTGAAGTGTAACGGAAAACGAAGAGAACCACTTGAAAAGCCAAACACTTTGGGCAATGAATCGAGTGCCTTTTGTAGCGTGTCCCTGTCACTGCCTTCCAAAATCTGAACCTTCTTAAATGGCCGTCCAGCTTGTTGTTCACAGCATGTCGGAATGTAACTTCACTTTTGTGAGGTTGCTTCATAAGTCCGGAGCAGAAGTTGGTTAAACACATGACTGCTGTATAAGACAAGGAATGTCCTTTTGCTGTCATTTGCAATAATCAGATGACATTTTACAACATTAGGATCAATTCAAAAACAGCCTCATCCAGGTATAATGCGGTCTTAAATTCTAGCCGACTTTGTAACCAAAGGTGTACAATTACAAATATTTAGCACATACTGTATAGGTGGGAATAAATAATGTGTCGTCTAAATATGTATCTTCTATGCCAGGCCATTTTCATCAAGTCATTCATAAAAGCCAAAATAGATGATTGTGAACAAGACGAACAGCGCATGTGACCATATGCTAAGCAAGATGAGTCATTGTCTGAAGCTAAGCCCATGTCATTGAATGTATTAGTGTTTAACTGTGACATTTCCTTATTAAACTAAACTGGTAATTATCTGCTGCGCTGTTTCCCAAGCTCTACCGAGCCAAAGCACCTGTTTTATATTAGAAAATGTCACAGCGCGCCACTAAACAAAAATGTCACAAAAAGTATGAATACCGAAATAATAATGATGTCATCTCCATTCACTCACAATTTAACCAACTCAGGACGAAATCTGGGCCTGTTTAATTGAACGCAAAGCTGATATAAACATTTATTGCACCTTCTACTATCTATTAAAAAAAGCATTCAATTAGTCTGACTCTATAAGGGGGTCCCGATCAGATATTGATACCGATATCTGCCGAAAAAAAAAATGTTTCGGATTATAACAGTCTACCTCCAAAATCTCCAAGATTAGCAATCATATACTCTTCAATGAGTATAATTAGTTTTAATTTAGTTTGTTAGGGAAATGTCTCAGGGTCATTTGATTCATTTTGTATTTGTATTTAATTCAAGTGCAGTACATTTTCGTGTTAGGGGAAGAATTGTGTAACCCATACGTTTGTACTAAAAGGGTCATAGTTTCTCATTCCTAGCCTTGCGGAATATTGTTCCTTGTGTGAATAGTAACACTTGATCAAGTCTCTTCTCACATTTAATTCTAAAAAAACAAAAGAAAGTATCATTCCTGCTGATATCGTTTCGAGTATTGGTCTTGTACAGTTTCGAGGCTGCAATGTCAGTGACGTAAAAAAGTTGCATTGGGACACTCCTATAGACGATACACCTCAATGGCATGGATAAATAAAGAAAGATATATCTGTATATTTTTCAAACAAATGAAGTGAAATTCAATCATAGCCCGTGGCACCTCTGATGATCCCTCGTGACACACGAGTGGGCCACAGCAGCTTGGTTGGGAATCACTGATTTGTATAAGACATAAGAAAATACTGAAATTAGTAAAACAAATACAGATGGTGTCTTGTGCGTCTCGGATCAACAGTGCCCCGGCAAGGTTGCAGTCAAGTACTGCCAATTTTTCCCTCCTGCATTGCTTCACAGTGCAATAATAAATCAACAATTAACTCCACACATCTACAGAATTCCTAACAATCAGTTAATCATTATGTCCTTGTTAAAACATGTTAGAAGTCTACAATACCATCGATTTAAGGAGTTGGTCAAGTTAGACTTCACTGCACGGATCCATTTCCAAATGTTCAAATGAAGCAAGCAAATTTATCATCGTGTACGTTTATTTTTCAGCGGAAGGCTATTCTCACAATTACCATAGTTGGACTGTCAAATCCACACTTTGAGCATGTTAGCTGTGTTTTATCGCACAAGAGTCTTTAGCTTTACGCTTGTTTGTCAATATTCACCCAGTGAACATTTTTGATGCAGCGGCATGATATTGAAGGCGAAGTATGAACAAAAATGTGCACTTCCTTATTCTTCTGCTGGGCTTCATCATGTTTAATGAATGAGGTGTCAACATTGTGTGAAAATGGGAGGGGTGAACCAATTTTTTCTACTGTTCAAACACTCATCCATTCCATCGGGCTTTTTCAACTAGAAAACCAAACCCGTATCTGATCCTAGACTGTCATAATCTGTGTTGTTTTGACTTTGTTTGGATTGGCTTGCGTTGTGTTTCATGGTTTCCCTTTTTTCATGTCTTGTCTTGTTCGGTTTATGTTTCCAACCGTCGTCATCAGCTCGGTCCCTTGTGTCAACCAATCAGGACGTGGGTGATCTGTAGACTTGCCAAACTGACAAAGAACCAGTCACATTGACACCTATTGACCATTTAGTTAGATAGATTTGATTCAGTGAATTCTTCTGAATCACGAAATCAAATGTTCATACTGTTCGGAATGTTGCCATGATTTTAACTTTGTCAAACTATCTACAGTATATAAAATGCATTTTAGTTGTATTCACCCAGTAAGTACAGTGCAGTTGTATTAAATATTTTATAGTTGTTTCTATTTAAACATGTTTTCTCATCCGCTTATCCTCTGGAGGGTCGCGGGCGTGTTGGAGCCTATCCCAGCAGTCTTCGGGCAGTAGGCAGGGGACACCCTGAACTGCTTGCCAGCCAATCACAGGGCACACAACGATCCACGCTCACACCTAGGGACAATTTAGAGTGTTCCATTAACTTGCCATGCATGTTTTTGGCATGTAGGAGGAAACTGGAGTACCCGGAGAAAACCCATTGCAGGCACGGAGAGAACATGCAAACTTCACACAGGAAGGCCGTAGCCAGAATCATACCCTGCACCTTTGGATTGCGAGGCCAGCGTGCTAACCATTTGTAGAATGTGCCGCCTAATTATTTATATTCAAACATATATTTAGGTATGATTTTAATTCACCTTATGCGCATGCATTTTAATGTTATAATTCTAAGTACTTTTTTTCCATGTATTTAGTTGTAGTTTAAATGTTCAAACTGTATAATGTTACAGTGGATTACAATAATATGAAATATGCTTTTTTTCGGCATAAAGGCCCTGCCTCATTTTTGATGAACACTTAGGTCTACTACACTACCGTATTACATGATAGTGGTACTTGGAGAGCAAGATACTTGGATTGGTCGAAGTTTGACTCTTCAATATTGGTGACGTGCATGTTTTTGAAAATTGTGGGAGGAAGATGGAGCCACGAAAGCATAGGGAGAAAAAGCAAACTTGACACTGATTCAAATTTTGAACCCTAAACGTCAGAACTGATGATATGACCTTCTCTTGTGATTTTAGTCCAAAGTCGTCAAGTCAGCTTGTCACGTTTCATTGTTCATGTTTAATAACAAGAGGAGTAACAACTGATATCACACTGATGTCTATTAACAGAGAGGTCATTCACCTGAACTCATTCATTCCTTACACATAGTCGGGGTTTACCGTGGTACTGTTTTACGGTAAACATTTAGATTTCTGTCTATTTTTCAGCAACATTGTTTGTTATCTAAGCCATCCGGACACAGGAGGCCGGTGGGCGGAGGCAGAGAGAGAACCAGGCCAGGACGGGGGTGGGGGGTGCAACACGTGGTGCTGCTCCGCTTTTGTTAATTAAAAGTGAACACTAAAGCGACAAAACAAAAACCAAAAAAAAAAAAAAAAAAAAACAAGGAGCACCCATGGGTTTGCATCCACACCTCCACCTCCTCTTACGTGGCGCACCCCAAAAGCAAGAGACCTGTAAAAACTTGCACATGTACGACTTAACAATACACGCCTTATGTCCATGAGCCAAACTGTCGCCCACACGAAAAAAAGTCATACATTTCTGTTTCACGTACCTTTGTCTCTCTCCAGAACCGGGTCAGCTTCCTTTGGAGCGTTACGAGTCGGACATGCTTTTCGATGCGGTGCCACGTCGAAGTTCACCTCGACAACACAAGGGCTCAGCGGCGGCCACAACGTTGTGCAGCCTGTCCAGAGAGCGCGATCGAGAAAAGACAATCGATCGATACGAGTTCGACCTCCACCCACGCTTTCTTTTTCCTCCCAGTCTGCACTCTTTTCGGGGGTTGTCGCTTCCTGTTGCTTCAAGAAAGTCGGTTCGGGGGCGGCGCTACATATACGCAGTCCTCCTTGGCACTAACTAGAATACTGTACTGTGGAGAATGCTGTATATAATGTTTGGTTTACTCATCCAACTATGTGTCGAAACAAGTTCAGATAAAAATACTATTCACAGATTTTAAATATGGATGTTATCTGACCCCGCGTGAAATTGGTGCAGACTTGCATTTACAGAGAGTACTTGTTTAATAAAGTATAGCCTACGGAGTACCAATGTGTTAACGGAGTACAGTACTGTACAGTATGTTAACCACAGAAAATACATTAGAGTGCTTGTTTATTAGGCCATGAACACCCCTGATCATTCTCTGGCCATTTCACTTCTAGGGGGGACATTTTACTACCTGTGGTTTGCCTGACATTTTCACATCTCTGTTTAAAGTATGGCAGCTCGGGTGGCCCAGTGGTTAGCGCGTCGACCTCACAGTGCAGAGGTACCGGGTTCAATGCCAGCTCCGGCCTCCCTCTGTGGGGTTTGCATGTTCTCCCCGGGCCTGCGTGGGTTTTCTCTGGGTACTGCGGTTTCTTACCACTTTCCAAAAACATGCACGGCAAGCTGATTGAACACTCCAAATTGTCCCTAGGTGTGAGTGTGAGCGCGGATGGTTGTTCGTCTCTGTGTGCCCTGCGATTGGCTGGCAACCGGTTCAGGGTGTCCCTGAAGGGCTGCGATAGGCTCCAGCACCCCCGCCACCCTTGTGAGGATAAAGCGGATCGGAAAATGAATGAATGAATGTTTTAAGGATAGAACGTTTGATTGTTATAGTTCACAGATGTCAAACTCAAGGCCCGGGGGCCAGATCTGGCCCACCAGGTCATTTTATGTGGCCCGCGAAAACAAATCATGGGTGCCAATTTGCTAAAATGTGTACCGAAATGTCAAATTGTCATGTGTTACAAAAAACGTTGCGATTTTGCAATAATTTTGTTGCTCTGTTTACACTCACTTGAACAACAATTGAACAAACGATTATAATTGACTGGACTGATTTCAAAACTAGTTAATCAATTAATTTGTTGTGTACAAATAATCATTTTGTGGTTTCACTCTCATAACGGTCCTCCAAGGGGAGACATAACTCCAAATTGGCCTGCGACTAAAATAAGTTTGACACCAATGTTATAGTCAATGAAGCAAGCAAACAGTGGCTGAGAAGAATTTTTTTTCAAACCATCCAGTTATGGTTTCATTAAATAAATTGCACACATATACCAATCTGGCCCAATTCATAATAACAAACCTAAGTGAAAAGCAACGGTTAAATTTTGTGAAAAATGGAGTAGTTCTTATTTTAATAACAATTTTAAGTGCTTAATGTTATTGTGTTTTTGTCATGATTCGGTTTGGGACCAACAGGTGGCACTGTAGGGCTCCCCTGCAGCTGCACACCTGTTGGTCATTAGGTAATTAGTGGCTTTAAAAGGACTCCCAGCCCGAGCAATCATTGTCGGGTCATTGTTGCTTTTTGCTGCTGTCATGTTTGTTTGTCAGTCATGTTTCGGTCATGTTTTTGGTCATGTTTTTGTTATTGATAGTTTTGAGCTTCAGTCATGGTTTTTGGTTGATACTTTGGACTTTGTTTGTTTAGGATTTAGTTTTCTGTGTTTTATCAATACACTTCTTCAAGTACACCCTGCTCCTCCCTCCTGCCTGCTTTTTGGGGTCCACCACCACCTCGCATCGTGACAGTTTTTAAAATACGATTTCAAAGAATGGGCCACCAATCACATGATGCAAAATAATGGCGTTGGACATCGGTGATAATTGATCTGATTGGCCCCTCTGTAACTGAGAAATCATTGTTTATCATACCATTTACATTACTGTCAGGGGTTCATGAAATAAATTACACACATATCTAGAATCTTGCTCAACACTGTCATAATCCTTGTGTTTCTCCAGCAGGAGTCAAAACTGAATGCCAAAAAGCCATCCTGGATGGATGGATGAAAATGAGACCAACTTCAATGTGAACTGAAGCTATTTATATCTTTGTTGAAAAAAAGCTAAAACTGAAATTAATATATTGACAAAGCACTTTTTTTATTTTACTAGCACAAAAGTTTTTTGTCAGTGTTGTGCATCTCGACTTGAGGTTTTTCTCTAATTATAAATAATAGTCATTAAGCAATTCATTCACTAGTTACGTATAACAAAATTAATATCTGAGTTATTTGTAGTCAAATAAAACATTCTTTAATAAGATGTTTGAGGTACTGTCAACTTAAATGAATCATTGCGATTATTTTCCGTTTGAGCTGAACAAACTCAGTAGGTTTTTATAGTGAGTATTTTTTTGTATTAATAGAGTACAAAGAACATAAGTCATACAGATGTAATGGCTGAGTTTAATGACATCATGTGAGGTGTCAAAAGCTCTGTGATGAATCACTTCATAAAGAATAAAGCATATTTTCTGATAGTACACAGTAACTGCCAACTGGCAAGGCATACCGGAAAAACTTCAGAATGTCCTCAGCAGGATCGGTAAGGAAAGGCAATTCTTACGAATGAGTTCTGTACATCGCTTTGCATTGTGGGTTGTGGCAGACTTATGTGAAGAGGGTCACGGGGGTGTTGCTGGAACCTAGCCCAGCTGACTTCGGGCGAAAGGCAGATTCCCTACCTGAAATGGTCATCAGTCAGTCGCAGGGCACACATAGAGACAAACAATCATACACACCCACATTCACACCATCACTGAATGGGAACCAACCCCACGCTCCCCGCACACAAGTCAGGCAAGTGTACCACTAGTGTTCAAAATGGATGGATGGATGGTTTACAGTGAGGAGATTTGGTTTTGAATCTCTTGTGGAACTTTGGAGTTTGCATTTTATGTTTTTTTTCAGGAACTTCGGTTTTCAGCTACGTTAAAAAACATGCAGATTGTTCATAAGTGCGATTGTAAGTGGGAATTTTTGTCTATGTGCCCAATGGCAACCAGTTTAGTGTAGCCTACTTAAAATTTCACCTGAATTCAAATGGTAGACCATGAGCCGTACTGTATTCGCTCCCTGAAATATTTCAGACTGTTTTTCAATCAAGTTTCAGTTCACACAAGGTTGCAAATTGAAAGTATTAATCTTTGTCTGTTTTTATAGCCCCCCGCCCCCACCCCGACCCCCGAAAAAACAAAAACATTTTTAAAACGTGTCTGTAGTTTTGCATTCAATGCACATCACCCCACATAAAACAAAAGCACAATCCCACATGTTGAAAGCAACAATCAATGAAACATGACGTCTATCTTGCGTCTGCTTGCATATCCAATTAAATGACCGTCATAAATAGCGACAAAAAGTAGATGAACACACACGCCATCTGTGTCACTATTCTGTGAGATTTACAATCGTCACGATTACAGCGCCGCGGAAAGGAGCAGGCGATTAAAAGTTGCTCAAGTTTGAACGACACTTTTGGCTATTACGATTAGTGGCGTCGGGACGATCTCTTAAGCGAGTTTGTAAAAGCTTATAATCATGCTCACACTCATTCTAACGAAGAGGAGGCAGTGCAGTGTTGGCTAGATGGATGCGAAACAAAATATCGGCTTTCTTCCACTTGCTGCTCGAAAACACAAGCTAATTTGTACATGTCGTGGATTCATTGTCAACATAGAAAAAAACCCATACGCATTTACTGAAAAAGCGAATAAATTTATCCATAAAGGGCTCCACAGCTGTTCGCTGACCTGCCAGCCGACGTCGAGATAGACCGAGCTAATTGGACTAGCGTAACCGCAAAGAGAATGATAGGTAACTAATAGAGTTGTGCTCCGAATCAAGCAGGAGCAGAGGACCGACACCGGCTCCAGCATGACGGGGCTTATCGGAGGCTGTTCTTGGCCGCCGCTCGCCCACCCTCGTCGGGCAGAACAAGATGACAAGGAGGAGGAGAATCACCAGGCGCCGGCTGATAAAGCTAAGCACCTGCAGGAGGACGCTGCATCCTTCATCAGTCTTGCAGAAAGTGGAATGCGCACTCCGCAGTGCCGGATCTGCTTCCTAGGCCCAGATAAGGTACATTTCAATGTGTTTTATAGGAGTTTGTGCATTCTATGTAAGCCTGCTGGCTCCATTTACAAAGTTATGTCTAATACTGAATGGACCACAATACCTTTATGCATTTCCTCAAAACAGGAAGCTTTGGAATGACTGAAGGGTAGAAAGGGTTCTGTCAGTCGTCATCTGTACCTGTGGGTAAAAAACAAAAAAAAAAGGCAAAAAAGGACGTTTCGCTTCTCTCACAGAAGCTTCGTCAGCGGTAGACAACCCTGAAGTCTCCGTGAAGACTCCGGGAAGTTGCTCTGCGCTAAAAAGCTGAGCGTGGCCTGTTTGAGGACTGGGTGGGGATGGTTAGTCACGCCCCTATTGGTTTATTAGAGGCCCATTGGTT